AATTAAACATCTCAAATTGGAATTCTCTTGGCAGAATCTTTTGTATGTGTTTTGTGTATGCTCATTTCAGCTGATATTAGAAAGAAGCATTTTCAAAATTCAGAAAAGACAAGGAATCCAGAATGAATGTCCTTCATACATTTTCTATTCACATGGAATAGTGCCTTAACCTATCCTAAATAAATAGAGGCCTCCACTGTGCTAAAAGTGCTCTAAGCAATAAAAGTTCACAACCTCTCTCAGTCACCCATGCCAGGTCATTGCCAAAGTTCACCTTTAATGCTCTCGCACACTGCTGACATGACTACAGGTCAATGAAACCTCTCTGAAAAGCAATTTTGAAAAAACATAACCCCTTTGACCCTTTAATTCCACTTTTATAAGCTGTGTCCTAAGAAAATATTAAAAAATACAAACAATACTGAATAAAGATGTAGATTTTTGCATGTATTTTAATAAAAATAATTAGAACTGCACTGAATATAAGCTGTTGGTTCATAGATTATATAAATCAAAAAATAAAATATTATGTAGTCATACACACACAGACAACAATGTTAGCATGATGCATTTTCTGCCTCTGTTTTGGCTGAGGCCCTAACAAAGCAGAGAATACTACATCAGGGAGCAAGTATTCCTACCTATCAAAGGTGCTAGGCAGCCCAAGAAGGGGGCAATCTTCACTCCTTAGTGTAGAGGAAAGAAATCCATGCCCCACCCTCCCAGCATCTGGAGAGATAATACGTGCATTCTACAGAGTTGCTCAGAGGGTCTCCAGCAGGATTGAACCCCAGCTGCCGATGACAATACTCAGCTCAGTAACATACTCTTTATTTTCTTCCTTCCCTGTCCCACGTGGCTGGTCCCCGCCCTTCTGCTTCCTACAATCTACCTCCCAGTACAAAGCCTGGACTCAAGTTCTTATCTCAGGCTCTACTGGAAGGCGAGATAAAATTAAGTTAACCCCACAACATAATGCCAATAATATCTAAAACTCAGAAAGGGAATTATGGATTTGGGATACCAAAAACTCAGGAAGGGAATTATGTACCAAGAGCTCGTTTTGTCCCCCACCCAAAGCAAGAAAACACATTATGAAAATGTGGCTCTCTGCTTCAAAGAAGGGAGGAGAAATACACTGAGAATAGACACTGGATTATTAGCGAGTTATCCTATCCCAGTATTATCATCTCATCACTGCCATTGTTATGGTCATATGGCAACAATGCAGATAGGGGCCAGTCAGGGTCCCCGCCCTTCAGGGAATCACAAAACTGGAAAAAGACTCATAGGCCTAGGACCTGTTTAAGGCAATTCCTCTCCCTAACACTGTGTTCTTGCTGTCCCTGCTATCAAGAGAGCCTTTAGAGAACACAGCATTATACACACTAAAAAATAATGATGAGTGTCAGGGGTAGGAGGACTACAATGTGTTTATGAGTCTTCTGTCCCAATTTGGAGCCCAAGTCACATCCAGATAGACAACTGATTCTCTTCTCTGTGGTTATAATTCCAATTTCCTCATGTATTTCAAACTACTCTTCAGGAAAAAGAAGGGATTCTGAGGCTAGCAATGAGGTAGACTTGATAATATGTGGTCCCAGCTATCTGAATAAAGATCCAAATAGAAGGTTGCCCTGTGTACAATTCCACATGGGGGAATTGTATTCTAGGCAGGGGAGCCTAGAATATCACATTGTCCTCTTTACTGCTTTATAAATGTGGACAAGAGAGCAATGGAAGCAACGGAGTTGGTAGAGCTAGCTACCAAAAGTTTAGGATAGAGGTTACAAAATTAAAAGGCAGGTTAGTATAAAGTAATGCAAGCAGGAATTTGTGGAGACAAAGGCAAATTGATGAGCATGTGCCTCTTTTGAAAGATGATTCTGAGCTCAAGGCAGTTAAAATCCAATGTTGAGAGACATTGCACGTTTTTTTGAGCCTCAAAAAAAGTCGGTTTTTGTTTGTTGGTTGTTGTTGATAGACATTGCACAGTTTTTGTTTGTTTTGGGGTGTGTGGGGGGGGAGTGTGAGACCACACTGTCACCTGGGCTGGAGTGTAATGGTGCAATCTCCACTCACTACAACCTCTGCCTCCCAGGTTCAAGCAATTCTTCTGCCTCAGCCTCCCGAGTAGGTGGGATTACAGGCGCCTGCCACCACACCTGGCTAATTTTTTGTACTTTTAGTAGAGATGGTGTTTCACTATGTTGGCCATAATCACAAACCTTGTGATCCACCCACCTCGGCCTCCCAAAGTGCTGGGATTACAGACGTGAACCACGGCTCCTGGCCAACATTGCACAGTTTTAAGAGCAACCAAGAAGTCAGATATCTAGATTTTACGTGAACGCCCCTGAGTTTTCCATGGTGGCAACTAATCCAAATGTTTTCTGCTCACTCCATATTGGCCTGCATAGGACGTCATAGAAAACACATTTGTGGGCTGTGTTTGGACATAAGTTATGAGAGTTATCTACCGTAATTGGGGAATATATTGAAAGTGCACCATAATGGACAGCCATAAAATTTTGAAAAGCAGAAAGACTAGAGAAAAGTGTTAGTTCATGAGCTGTAAATAAGCAAGAGAGACTCAAATTCTCAAGCTTATGCTTAGCGGGGCTGGGAATTTTAGATTTCTGGTCTTTTGGGGGCATCTTTCTACTTATCCCATCAAGACAAGTAGAAAGATAGCCTACTGCAGGAAGATAGCCTATCTAGAAAGAGGAAGAAGCCCCTGTGTAAAAGAAACAAGCTACCACCAAGAGTTAATGAACCTCTTGAAAAAGGGAAGCATCTTGTTGACACTTAGATGAGACTCAAAGAGAAGGATCCATCCTCCCAGGGGCTGGAGGAATATGAGGGTAGAGCCAGCCAGCTCTACCTACCTCTTCCTTTGTGTGACTTTTTTGAAGGTATGATATGCTCTTCCTTTGTGTGACTTTTTTGAAGTTATGACTTGTTTTGAAGGCATTCTGGTAAAAGGGTCTTTGGGGGGCATTGGGAAGTAGGGCTAGGGCACAGAACCTACCAGTCCTATCATTCGAAGGTAGGATAGCTTGAGTCTTAACTCGAGCACATCCTAAACTGTATGATCTTAAACAAGTTAATCATTCTACCTGTTTCAGTTATGAAATTGGGACCCAGATTCCCTTGATGCCACAACTGAGATAAATGAAATAACCATTCCACAGTCTCTAGTGCAGAGCCTGACAGGCTGCAGCCTGCAGGCCAAATCCAGCAAAGTTTTACTAAAATACAGCCAGAGCCATTTACTTACTACGTCTGCTTTCACCTGCATGCGCTCTCTGGCCCTTTAACTCTGTTGGGGGCTCTCTCTAGTGGCCCTATTACCTGGCATAACTCACAAAAGCTGCTGTAAGGTATAACTTGAGTCATGGTTGCTTACCTCATACAAGACTTTCATCAGTAATTATTGAATGTCCTAGACAGGAGATTCAAATGCTTCACATCTTCAAGTTCTCCACAGTTACCCATTTCAAAATTTTCTTCTAAGTTTCAGGTTTGAACATGTGATAGACAGATCTGCTGGTATGGTTAGATTTACTCTGGTTTTCTCCTGGACTGTGTCTTAGACTATACATGCTATGTGTACATTTCCATATGTACATGTACATATATGCTATGTGGACATGTAAACAGGACCTGGCACATGGGCATTATTCAATAGTAAAACATGTCCTATGTCAATGTAGCGAGAATAGTGAGGGTGGTGTAGAGGACTGCACCAGAATGAAGCAGAGAAGGCTACGACCTCTTCATCTTTGCCTTCTCCCTGAGGCTATGCCAGTGCATGCACAACATTGTTATAGGACTACTTCCAGACACACTTACAACCTGTTACTGCAGCCTGTTAACTGCCAGAGTACCTGTAACCCATCACCATAGCCTACTACCATGAGACGTGCTTATATCCAATGATATAGCTATATTACTACAGCCTGCTACCACAAGATTGACTTGTATTACTACTACATACACGACCTCAGGACACTCAGCTCTTGCTCCCAGAAACACCTGCTGGAACATTTTTAAGCCATCTCTCCACACCCCCACACTGAGTTGGGGTGTGGAGAGATGACCAAATGTGACAATGGAAGACCAAAAGCAATCATCAAAGAAACCCAAGAAGCTCGTCAACATCTAGGAAATAGGACAAAACCCTGCAGCCCACCTAAGTCAGCTGAACAATAAAAAGGCAGTTTCTGCATCTTTCATGTTCCAAAGGAGATAGAGAATTGAGTTTTGAGGCCCCAACCTTACAGATTAGCTTTGGTCTTGCAGATCAATTGTTTTTAAAGATTCTGGAGGCAAGCTGTGCTTAGCAGAACTTCTACAGTTTAATGGTAATGGATTGGAAGTGAGGGATTATTTGGTACTTTTCGTAAGTTTTACAAGGTTCAAATTTAGTTACACAAGGGATTCTACAAAGCTACAATAATTATTTGATCCCAGATTGTATCTACACTACATTATATCTAGAGTATACCACCAGGAGAAGCTAGAGAATGTTGTCCTTTAAAGAATTCCAAATGCTTATATCCCATTGTAAGCGTACATCATTGTGTCTTTGCTCTTTCTCACATTTACAAGTCCTGGGCTTCATGATGGATGACCAGGGCTTGTTTTAGAAAAACAGTCATCTTCATTACTGCCAACAAATGAATGAGAAGCACGAGCTGATGGTGATCTGGTGGTTCACCTGGCTCAGCCTGCACTGGCCTTTAGATGGCTTGTCAACCCAAATAAGCCCTTACTATGTGCAGAAAGGATCTCAATGTATCCCAAACCAAAGCCCAACCACAAATGTCATTAGGAAATCTTTTGAACAGGAAAAAAGGGGTAAACTACATATTTCCTCCTGACTCACATGGTTCTCCCTCTACTCACCACGTCCATCTGATTACATGAAGGGCTAGGGTACTAAGGTCATCCAATGTCACTCTTCGGCTAAACAGTAACACTCAAAAACACCTTTGTCAGAGAAAGAAGAGACGTTTTATTTAGAGACCCTGGGGTGGAGAGGAATAATCAATGATGATTATGGTGGTCTTGGGCCTGCGCCAAAAGCCCTTCTCTGTGCTGGCTGTGGGAGAGCACATGTTACAGAAAAGCACAAATTCAAGCAGCTTCTTCAACCAAAACATTGACATATTCTGCTGACTAAAGAAACAAATAAGAAAATTAAAGATGTACACTCCAAATCCCATGTGTTTTTCACATAGTGACCTTCCCAATTCTACTTCCCAGAGATCCCACCAAGCACAGAGCTTCGGAGTTTGAGAGTCCCACCTGAAAGAGGCAGGTCCAGGGTTTGTGTGATCTCTCTTTACTGTGTGGACAGGAAGAGGCAAAGAAGACAAGCCACGAGCACAGAAAGCCAGGCTCTTCGAGGGACTGGGCGGGTGGGGAGCAGGGAAAGAACTGGGTGGTTGTTTTTTATTGGCAGGTGGGTGTCAGTGAGGGATGGGATTGTTAGGAAGTACTGGGGCCACTCTTTAGAAGATGATAGGAGATCTTTGCTTTTGACAAAGGCATGACAGCTTGGGAGCTTGGCCAAGCACAGTTCTTCAGTTCTAAGAGTCCCCTCTGTGATCAGAAAATATCATCAATACCTTGTCTTCCCATTCCTTTTCAGAGGTAATTTCCTGGCTTTTTGCGTCCGTGGGGAATATCTCAGATGGCATGCTGAACACCTACATCCACAGGCTTTTACCATCTTCTTCTGTTCCTCAACTCCGGTCAGCACGAGGTTTTGGTTGAAACAGCAAGATCTTTTTGCTCCCACTGTTGTCCCTCTCTCCTACCCCAAGTCCATTTGTCCAAAGCCATCCACCCATCATTCCCTTTATATAGTGGCTTATGACATGGGCCCTCCTGGTAAAGGGACATGATGGTTGATGGTGCCTTGTCACAATGGCTGGAAGTGGGTGGTTGGGGCAGTACTGAGGTGCTGGATAAAACCAAGAAAATGCCTACTGGGACTCCTTAAATCAGCTGGTGGCCTATCAGGATAGCCCATAGGAACTCCCACGAAGTACAGAAACCAAGCAAAATTCTCTTTGCCTTTCAAACACGAGTATGGCACTTTTTAAAAAGCCTTTGTCTGCTGACACATTTAGGCATACATTCCTGGTTCCATTGCCTTACTGCTAGAAAGAGCTCTCGAGGGAGGATTTGAACAATGGACTCTTTTAAAATGAATAAAGTATAATTGACACACAATAAACTGCACATATTTTCAGTGTAGAGTTTGATAAGTGTTGACATAGGAATATACCCATAAACCATTACTACAAATTGAGATAATTAGTAAGGTGTACCGTGCCCCCTTTGTAATCTTTCCCTCCTGCCCCTCCCCCAAGTTCTTCTCTAAGTCCCCAAAAGCTCTAGTCCAATTCATTTTTTAAAACTACTACCCCTGCCCTGTCCCCTGGAACCCCACAGAACTATAGCTTCAACTTCAAGAAGCTTGCTATCTTGGCAGAGAAGGCACCCATGAAAATAAACATCTCCAGGCAGAATCTGGTAGATAGAAAATGTGACCAAATGAAGAAGTAACCATAGAGTATAGGGGTCTTTTTTAAGTCTTGAAGAACAGATGGAAATTTAATAGGTGAAGATGAAAAAAATAGTACAAATCACCAAATTTTCTATGTACACCTGTACTTTTTCTACTTTTTAAATAACCCAACTTGGTTAGAACAGAGGTCGCCTGAAGAAAATAATAAAGGACACTGCTAAAAAGCCAGGTTGGGGTTGGAGATGGGGATATGAAAATTGAAACGCTGTAGTCAAAATGTCGACATCTTGTAGACAGTAATGTGTTTCTCAGATTGAACTGAAGCGTGATGTGGTAAGCCTTGCTTTATGAAGTTTCACTGGGCAGCAGTTTGCATGGAAAAAGAGCTTCCAGCCACCTCCACAGTGACATAGCCCAGAGGGTGATAAAGGCTACCACCTACCACCTGGCATCATAGAAATGTGGGCCTCATAAAGGAAGAGACAAGAACCCAACACACCTGGGCTTCAAGCCTAAGTAATGTGGCCCTGCGTGATGCCAACCAGAAGGGTCAGGTTGACAGGAAGGTCCCAAGAGATGTCATCTCCTCTCTTCCTTAAAAGCCCGGTTTCAAACGTACCTACTCAACAAAGGCTGTAGTGATTCACCCACCTCAGGAAGGCCACCTTCATGTTGAGGTCGTGAGGAGTAGAGGGATGGAGGTGATCATCACAGCATCCCCTACCATCCCTCTAATAGCCCACCTCTTGCTACAGTTCTCTTGTCATTCTTTTAACATAAGACCTAAGGTTTTAATCCTGGGGAGGGCAAAAAAGGCAGAAGAGAAAGAGAGAAAAATAAAGAGATGGAGGTGGAATTGTATTTAAACTACATAGGTGACACTGAACTTAATGTATTCTAGCCCTTCCTTATCAAAAACCAATTGAAGTGGCATCATGTCTGGGGTCAATATCTGGGGTTCATCATCGCGTGCCGAGATCAGGAACATGGACACATGTGGAGTGGATTAAGGATCCGGAAGTTTAATAGGCAGAAGAAAGGAGAGACGAGAGCAGCTCTCTCTCTCTCTCTCTCTCTCTCTCTCTCTTGCAAGAGAGCAGCATCTAAAAGGGAAAAGCCAGCCTGAAACAGACCTCAGCAGATTGTATAGGCAGGCTTGAGGTGGCAGTGTCTGATTTACATAGGACCCACGCATTGGTTCAACCAGGTGTGACATATACATAGCGTGGGGAAGGCTGGTTGTTCCATCTAATCTTATTATGCAAATGGGCTTTCCACTTGGCCAGCCCCTTGTTGTCTGCTCCTAACTGCACATATGGCTGGCTAAGAGAAGGGAAGATGGAGCCGCCATTTTGATCATGCCTAGTTACAGGTAGCCTTTTCCTATTGGCACAACTGCCGGCATTCACCTGTGCAACCTTCCAGCTTGCTTGTCTATGTCTGCAGCTCAATTTTACAAAACCTTCCCAAGGACTCCCGTATCCTCACTATTGCCTAAGTACTTTCTTCTTAACTCCTATATCACAATCAGGTTGTCTCCACATCAAAAGCTCTCACATTTAAGCTAAAAGGCTTGGAAACTATGATCATAATTTTATGTCTTAGAGATGGTTTGACAGAGCAACCAATTTATTCATCCAAATTTGTATAGAGGATCTCCAGCTATCTCACTAACCTTATGTCTGGCCCTTTGTGGTTTTGAGCTCTTTCCTATGCATGCATGAGGGTATGGGTCAGTGTGAGGGATGGCAAAAAGGAAGCGAAGAACATTCTGTCGTGGGATCCCAATTGTAATTTAAAATGTCTGAGAACCCACTAGGTATATACACATCCACATGGATCCCCCACTCCCCATCACTCCCACTAAGCAGCCTGAATGAATCCAGGCTTTGTAACACAGTATCCTTATTGAGGACCTTCGTTTTGATAGATTATAGGGATCCACCTCTCAAGGCAAGGATGTATTGAGAATCTTTTGTGTGCCAATTTTTAAGGACTCAAGAAATGTAGAATATGTAAGAAACAATCTTAAGTAAAAAAATTATTCCAGTTTCTTACACAAGATCCCAGCCTCTCTGTTTACCAGCTTGGGGACCTTGGGGAAATTACTAACGACTCCGATCCTGGAACGTGGCAATAACAGTACCCGCCTCAGAGGGCTGATGTGAGGGTTAAACGGCTTCATATCACCTGAGTAGTTACCATATTGCAGGCACGGTCTTGCAATAGGTATCAAGCTATTTTGGCTCTGTACTCCCAGAGTGGAAGGTGCCTGAGGGAAGGCCAAAAGGAGAAATAATGAGGACAAGCCGAGACAGGGTTGTCAGCCCAAGCTGCCAACTGAGCTGCGGTGAGGAAGAAGAGTGAGGTCAGATGCGGGTGACTTCAAGGTCATGCGAATAACGTGGGCCAAGGAAAGCAAGAAGTCCTGTCATTCTTTAATGGCAGAGCAATAACGGTTAACTAATAGCCCTTCTTTTGAGAGGCTTGGCCGAGAAGGGAAGGAGAGGAGGGTGATTAGAGAGAAGCTTACCTTCTCCTGCTGAAAAACAAGCTCCCCTCCCATCTCTCCCCCACCCACACTCATGCCCATTCCCCTTCCTGTGTTTCTGCAGGAATCCAATTGCCAAGTGCTCTGCAGGAATCACCTACGGTAAGGACAGAGAAGTGAGATGCTATTCCCCAAGCAGTGCCTGCCACTTAGGAGTTCCCCTAAAAGTGCTCTGAGCACCTCAAGTATCACAGCTTCCAGTTTTGCGTGCCTTACTTTCAACACCATTCTTTCCTGGGTTTTCTTCTGTCCTCTCGGTCTCCTTGCCCTGCTCTCTCCTCTAAAACACCCAAAGGCTGATAAGTCCCATAACTTTGTCTCTAGAGCATCTCACCTGCTCCTGGAGATTCAACCACACAAAACTCTACCTTGCCAGTGCTCAAAACTGCATCACCAGTCTCAGTTGCTCTTCTGAGCTACAGATAGCACTATCCAATTTGTCTACAGGGCATCCTTGGGGACATTGGACCTGGTCTGGTAGGCATTGAACTGACGCAAAACTAAAACCAGTTTTTTCTGTCCACATATATTTCCAGCTCCTGTATCTACTCAGCAGTCATTCATTATCACGTAGGGCAGAAGTCTAGATTAAAACTTTACCCCTCCGCGTAAGTCATGTCAGTATTTTATAACTCACCCCTTCTTCTCCAACTCCATTGCTGACTTGAGTTAAATGGCTCAATATCACTAGAGAACTTGCCACATCGCAGGCACTGTCCTGCAACAGATGACAAGTTAGACTTCAAGTCTTTTGTTGATAGCTGTTTTTATGGTGAACATGAAGTCAAAGATATCACCCTCTGGGTAACTGACCATCTTCCTCTGCATCCCCTCTGTGGCAGCACGTAGAGCACATCCACTAAAATAAAGTAGATGCCGATCTAAATCCCGGCTCTGCTGTTTAGTATTTGCACACCCTTAAGCAATTTCCTGAAGCTCTGAGCCAGTAAGGAGGTGATCTCCAACTAGGTGTTTAGTCTCCTCATTAGTAAGACAATAGGATTGCCACGAAGCCTGAGTCCTTCTCTCTTTCGCTTACCGAAGGTTTTTAAGACTGGGGAAGATAAAATGATCTGTTCACATTTAGTAATTTGGGAAGGCTGGATCCAGAAAATCAGTCTGACTAAATATTGGAGGTAATCATACCAGGTCCCCTGCTCAGCTCTTCACTTGTAGATTGGTTCACTGACCTCACGTGGACTTTGTGACATCCCAGAGAGGGGAAGGCCAAGTCACAGTGGCCTAGCTTCTTTGCAACTGGGCCCCTTCTGTCACAGAGCTGGGAATATAACCTTTAGGTAAATGACTGGAAAGCCCCCTTCGGGCTCCTGACATCTCCCATCACTAAGTATGAGCACTGAATGTGTGCATTCGGCCACACTAGGACACAGCAGAAATGCATGTACTCCAGGACTCAGCCAGTTTCCCACAGGAGCATAGAAGAAAGCACCACTAAAGGAGAACAAGGAGAAGTAGGAGAAAGCGGGTAGCGATAGGCAAGGCTCGCAGGTTGGAGTCGGAGGAATGGAGACAGGAGCAGTACCAGCTATGGATGGAGGAGGGGTGTGAGGAGGGGAGAGGAGATGGTCATGGAGCCAGTAATGAAGAGGCTAAATTCATTCTCAGGCACACGGCATAGCCTCAGTATGAAGCAAGTCATTTACAGGTATTCATCAGTCTCCCATTGTGAATAAGAGATTTGACCAGCTCTCCTGGTCTATAAAGGTGAATGAGATAGGGATTTTTCAATTCAGTTATCTGGTATGTGCCATCAGTGGTGTCTTAAGTGAGGCAGGAGAGACAGGGTGGGGTTCATAGTCACGGGACCTGTGCATCACAAACAGCCTTGTACTCACTTACCCACCCTGATCTCACACTTATGCTTATCTGTCACCACCATGAAATTTCTAATAAGTTTTTAGCCAGGGGCTAGCATATTCATTTTGCAATGGACTTCACAATTTATGTAGCTGGTTCTGGGGAGACATCACTTTTTTTATCTGGAGGATGTGGAGTCCTAATAAGTAACAAGGGGCACAAGATGGGGAAAGGCTGGCCCAGGTTGGGGGAGAACAATGAACAACTGTTCTGAGAAATGGCTACACACAAACAACCTGTGAGCACAATGACCTCCTTGCCCACACAGCCCCAGCAGCACAACCTCATTCTACATATAGACCCTGTAAAAATCCCCTCCAGCCCCTGCCTTTTTGCAGACAGCCCCTTCTCTGCTGCGCTGCCCATTGCTTTCTTGCAACATAGCTTCGTACTTCTTCTAATAAATCTGGCTTTCTTTACCTATGACTGTCTCGGTAAATTCCTTTACCGCCCACAGCAGCAGCCCCAGCTAGTCACACCCACAAGAAAGCAGCTGTCACAGGAAGTAGCAAGTAAGCGAGGCCAAACCAGAGTTAAAGAGGTAACAAAATCGTAAGGGAAAATTGGGGAAATGTCAAGTTAGCCTTGTGTGCCCACCTGAAGAACTTCCCGAGACTGTCCCACTCTACCCAGAGACACTTTTAACCTCAGTTTTTTCTTTCTTCTCTCGCAGCATGAAGGAAGTGCATTTTCCCTGTCACAGCAGTCTTAGAAAACAAGCGTGGTGCATCCTCAGAACGTCTCCATGGTATGACCTCCCACACTTCCTCCTCACCAGAAGATCAATAAATAAAGCTTCATAGTATCTGGAATTTCTTGACTAATAAAATCTGATTACTGCCATACTCAAAAGCATTTGGATCTTTCTTTGGTCCTTACTAAAAGCAAAGGCTTTGCTTTAAACATTTCTCTGGGCAAGTCCTACCTGCTCCCCCCAGAGCAAGAATGTAATGAAGAGTGGTGTTACTAAACACTTTGGACCACAGAACTGTAGGATTTCAAAGAGCAGCAAAGCTCTCTTCTGTTTCTTCCTCTTATTTAGTATAGATACAACTAAATCTACTTTTTGAGACCCGCAAATATGATAATTTTGTCCCAAAGAACAATGGGGAAACCTGACAGTGACACTGTCAAGCAAGCTTTCATTGCCAGCTCTGTCTCTCAAGAGTTTCATGACATGAAGTAAAATTATACTTTCAATCTGCCTCTTCTTCTCCCTCAGTCACCACTAGGACCAGGAAGTAGAGGTTTGGGAAGCCAAGCCAAAGAGGTAGGGCTGACTGTGATGCTCTCCCTTGACCCAGCCTTGGTTCTGACCCAGATCGCCTATATCCAACGCACTGTACCAGCCTGATGGTTACAGCATTTTGAAATCATTAACTATGAAGCCACATAACCTTCATGTGTGGCAGCCTCAACCTATCTCTGTGGTCCTCTTCCCCCTCTTGATGGCAACTCTTTCCCCTCTTTCAGAGGGTCAGTTACCCTAAAACTCAATGAATTGATGACTCCTGGCAGATGAAATAATTTTAAGAGGGCAACGGCCCCTGCACATGGCCCTTAGGAGAAGAGAAAAGCAGACCAAATGCACAGAAAATAAGAAAAGAGAGCAGAAAGTATGACTTCAGTCCACCATTGCACAGTGGCAAGAAGCCTGGACTGGAGATTAAGAGGTCTAGGTTTGAGATCCAACTCTGCCCATGATTTGGACTAAGTTACCCTTCATCTCAAGGCCTATTTATTATAAAGTTGTTCTCTAGCAATGCTCCAACTCAAAGTTCCTTACTCCAGTTGGTAGATGGATTAAAACACTTTATTCTTGACCACAGGATGCCAAATGATTTTAATATGTGTGATATTTTTGTACCATAACACCCTTTTCTAATACCCTAGGATGCAGCCCAGCTTTTATCTTAACAGCTAAAGGGAATTCTATTTCCAGTGTATTCTGGAAAAGGACATCTTTTGTTACCAGGGGATTCAGGTTAATAGAGGCAGGTTAGTAGCTAGTGGTCAATGTGAAACCTTATTAGAACCCGCTGAAGCATCCAATTTGGATTTTCTTTATGTACCATTATACCATGTAGTTTTTCATAGTGGGACTTGGAAAGACAAAAGGAAAGAAGTAGTCAATTTTCAAAAGTCCAAAAGTAACTAAAAGCAAATGAAAGTTTGAGTGCTCTCAAAATGAGAACTTGAAAGTTGTCCAGAGTTCCTCCAGTCATGCCCTGCTCTAAGGAGAACTACTTTTTTCCAAACTACTTTTTTCTAAAATTAGGTTCCTTCACTGTGATCATAGCGAGGCATGCATGAGAGAAAAGGCAAATAGAGTGGACACTCAAGGACAGGTTCGTTTTGGGGGAGTTTTTTTCTGAGGTGGAGTCTCACTCTGTAGCCCAGGCTGAAGTGCACTGTCATGATCTCAGCCCACTGCAACCTCCACCTCCCGGGTTCAAGGGATTCTCCTGTGTCAGCCTCCTGAGTAGCTGGGATTCCAGGTGCCTGCCACCATGCCCAGCTAATATTTTCTGTTTTTAGTAGAGATGGGGTTTCACCATTTTGGCCAAGTTAGTCTCAAACTCCTGACCTCGGTTGATCCACCCGCCTCAGCCTCCCAATGTGCTGGGATTACAGGCATGAGCCACCATGCCCGACTGACAAGTTTGTTTTTAAGTCAAGTTGGGAAGGCACTATGGTGCGGCCGGCAGTCCTTGACCTGGGGTCAGCAATCTCGCCTCTCTCCCGGCTCTTCCATTGCCAAGGTGCAGCCCCTGAGATAAGCCTCTTGGCTCCAAAGGAGCAGGACAAGGTGGTCCCTAAGAGCCTCCCATGACCCCTGCTCTTGTGATAAATCTCCCACTTTCAGCACCCAATCTCTCTCTCCTTGAAAAAAACAGAAATTGTTTATGTAAAAACAATTTGAGAACGCAGCAGAAAGAATAGGAGAGAAGCCTGATGGAAAAATGGAAAAGAATGCCACCAAATCTCCAGGCAGACTCCAGACCATCCTCAGAACCAGGATGCTCCCTGTACCTCCACAACTGGATGAAAAGGGGTAAATGGAGTTAAGATCCTTCCTCCCCCTCGCTCTGCAAACTACCCGTTGGCCTTGGTCTCTGGCCTCTTTCTAATTCCCTGCTGAAGACAGTGAACGTGTTCTGAGTTCAGAAAGCTCTGCCCCTTGGTGAGGCACGTCGGCACGTCTCTCAGCCACTTTCCCCTCCTCCAGCCTGTCCCCAAACCCTTTGGCCTATTTGAACAGCAGTAGCAACAACAGTAGAGATGACAGGGTGTGCATGTGAACAGGGTAAAAGGTCCCCACTTCCCAGCTGAGGTCAACATCTGCAGAGACTTAGATTTCAGAGGATTCAGACTGAGTCATCGACATGTGTAAGGACTGTCAGCAACTTTTCCATGTTCCCTCTTAATAAGCCCCAAGTTTCAGCCTGCTGGGAAAATCCAGCCCTATGAAGGCACCCACTGGACTCCCCGGAAAAATTAATGGAGTGAGCTTGAATTGGAGACGTGAGATGGAATCTAACTAGAGATCTGACTTCCAAAGCAGTGACACCCTACGCCTACCCTTCCTAGCCTAGGAAAGGACCCAGAGAGACCACTGGCCTCCAAGCCCTTTCCTGCACTGCAACCGCAGCTACTCTTCTAGGAGATACAGACATCATCCTGTCCATTCACCTGTCTCCAGGCAAGATCTCACTCAGCCGCAAGAAAGAAGAGGCTGGTAGCATCTCTTCTCAAAAGGCCAGGAATTTAGTTCTCTCTCTTTCTGTGCCAACAATGATCAACATATTCATTTCTTTTCTTCAAGGGAGAAAAAGTTGAGTCCCCCCAGGAAAGCTAAGGTATAAAGGAAACAGGTTTATGGGCTGTCCTTGTTAGTTCTATGCTAGGTTATTTGAAGTCACTCATATGTCCTCTCTGTGCAAAGATAGCAGAAAAAAAAAAATGGTGAGACAGTCAGCAGACTGAATTAACAGGTGATTCTCAAGGAAGGACCTCATTCTGGGCCTGCTAAGGGTTAGAAGTAGCTCACTGGGCTCTATCTAAATTGCTGCTGGCTTGAGCGACACTGGGGCAGAAATGGAAAGAGAAACAGAGACAGGCAGTGGTGGCCAGTGCTCAGCCCTGCTCCGTCCTCACTCCAGGAGGTCTGACACAGGAGCCAACCCAAACACCCCCCACACCCCACCCTTGAGTGGCCTGTGAATCGCCTTCCCTGTCCCCCATGGGGTTTTCTACTGCTCAAGTTTCTCAACATGGGTGTCTGGAACCAGAACTGCTCCTCAACACCAGGCAAAGGGGATTTTTTGTTTGTTTCTTCATTAGTTCCCAAGTCTGGCTGCCTTCTTCCCTGTGATCTCAGCTTCTCCTTGGCAGAGCAGGTCTTTTGGGGGTGGGAAGGACTGGGGAGAGAAATAGTATCCAGCCTTCAGGACCATCCAGAAAAAATGCCTTTCAAAAAGAGGCTGGTTCCTCTGTAAACATTTTAGCCAATGGTGTCAGGCATGAGAGGTCAGCACAGAGCACCAGAGGACCCGTTGTGAGGACAATGTGTTCTCTCTTACCTGCCTGGAAATGACCCTGCTTGTGCAAAGTCACCGTGATTGTGTTGAACTGTCGGTCCTCATAATATACCAAAGCAGCTCGACTGAATAGATATTTACTGACCACTAGTGTGGGCCATACTAGTACTTGTGGAAAAATGCAGTAGAAATAAAAGATACAGTCCCTAATGACAAGGAGGCTACCACCAAAGGTCATCTCAGAGATCACCTAGCCCAATCTGCTTCTTTATGGAATAAGGGAGCTAATGTCCAGAGAAGTCCAGTCAAGACCAGAACCAAGACATACCACCTCCTGCTGAGACACACGTGGCACAGCAATGTAGGCATAAAACAAGATTTTTGCACAATTAGGGCTGGTTGTCTAGAGTTTAAAGTCAATGGTGTATGAAGAATAAACTTTGAAGAAGTTTCAAAGGACAGTGAAAATTGGATAAATTGGAAAGTCTTCCTTCGCGATGTGGGGCAAAATGGGAAGGAACAGGATAGTTAGAAAAATAAAAGAAGGGCTTCTTATTCATTGACCGAATGTGTTTCACAAACACTTACTGAGCTTCTATTCTGTGGCAGGACTGTTTAACTCCAGGGAATAGACAGAGGTGAGCCCCGTTTCTCAATTCCTGCCTTGACAGAGGTCCCTGCTTTCATGGGGTGTGTTTGCAGGAGGAACTGGCCTAGAGTGGACGGAGAAGGTCTGTCCAACAGGGAAGCCAGCAGTCTGTTCTGTAGTACTGCTTCTTCGTGTGAATAAAAGTCACCAAAGTCACCAACAGGAAGTCTCTAGAGAGACCTTCCTGGAAGCAGGAAAACGGAAAGTGTCACATATAGTGACTATTCAAAGAATCTGGGTTTCAAAATACAATTTGCCATCTATAGATATCAGAGAAACAGGGAGTGGGGCTTGAACTATATTCTCTCTTCTATTTAACCAACTTTTGCGGAGGACCTCCTGCACGCAAGATGCTCAGTTCTTGAATGAGGATAATGGCAGTGGAGAGAGAAGGAGGGACAAATGGAAGAAATAGCAAACATGTTCCATAGAAATCCATTTGAGACCAGGCACGGTGGCTCACACCTATAATCCCAGCACTTTGGGAGGCTGAGGTGGGCAGATCACCTGAGGTCAGGAGTTCAAGACCAGCCTGGCCAACATGGTGAAATCCTCTCTCTACTAAAAATACAAAAATTAGCCAGCATGGTGTCACACACCTGTAATTCCAGCTACTCGTGAGGCTGAGGCAAGGGAATTGCTGGAACCCGGGAGGCGGATATTGCAGTGAGCTGAGATTGAGCCACTGCACTCCAGCCTGAGCAACACAGTCTCAAAAAAAAAAAAGAAATCTGTTCAAAACCATTTACTATGAGGTATAATGGAGAATAAATAAAAGGCTGGATGACTTATACACCCGATAACCATTCAATATATCTATTTGTAAGTGTCAAAGGCATTGTGAGTGCAGTATGTCTTATACCAAGTGCATCATCATCACTCTCTCCATGCCTGGCCTTTATCTCCATGAATGGACCAGCATCCAGGTAACTGCATTATACAGAAACAAAAGCCACACCCTTGACATCACCTGCTTCCACCTCCCAAATTCAATCCAACACCAAGTCTTGGTCTCTTGTCCACTTTATAGCTTAATCAACATCCTTCTTGGACAGGTCTGAGCCATCATCAAATCTTTCTCTCTACTTAACTCTAGTGGTTGACAGGGGCATCTCCCTTTACACAGCTCCTCCAGTCAATACATCACCCACTTGGTGCCATCTAATCTCACGTGCCATCCTCTTAACGTCTTTAAACGCTTCCCAAATACTTGATCATGGTTTGATCTCTGTCTCTCTCTCCAACCTCATCCTGTACCATGTAAAGGGTTTCTCTCTGCCCTTCTTCAGCCAATATGACATTCCAAGTACTTATTAACTGATTTATGTACACACCTGATGAATGGCTTTCTCCCCCGTGGGCTGGGAGTTCCATGAGCACAGCATCTGCATGTTTTTATCTTCCACTAATTTTCTACCACCTAAATGTAAGGCACATGCTATGTAATTAATATCTGTGACTGAATTTTTAAAAATAATTAGGTTAATTGTTCTCAAGCAGAGTCATTTTGCCCCTCACTTCCCCAGCCTCCCAAAGAAACAGGTGGCAATGTTAGGAAATATTTGGGGTTGTCATAGCTGGCAGACTTCATTGGTGTCCAGTAGGTAGAGGCCAGGGATGTTGCCAAACTTCCTAGGATGCCCAAGACAGCCCACCAAAAGCTACCCTGCCCACTGTGTCAGCAGTGCCAAGACTGAGAAATCCTTAGATGAGAAAGAAGAAGTATTTCTATTTTGATCATATTGAATTGGGTTCTCTAGAGTCAAGTCCTTACAGAAATACACGTGTCATCTCCAGATGCTGTGAGAAACTTAAATAGTCATGCATATACACACACTCAATGACTGTTACATTTCCTACAGCCAGGAGAAGCATATTGGAATGGTCTCTTGTACTCCTCCAATGCCTGGCATGGGGCTGGGATTCAGTTGCTCAATAACATCTCTCTGGAAAGCCTCACTTAACATATAAAGGATCTCAAAACTGAGGGCAGCTCTTGAGCTTTATTTCACATATATGAACAAAGGGCCGCAAAGGTGAGTGACAGCACAATAGAGCCCCTCCCACCTGCTGAGCCACACCCCTTCCCTGTCACAATGGCCAAGGCCTTAAATACCCAGACTTCTAGCCCATGGGCCTTGCAAAGCCCCTCATTCCGGCAGAACTGACCATGTCGACCAGCCGCAAATTAAAGGGTCATGGCATGAGGAGGAGCAAGAGCCGATCTCCTCAGAAGGGAGTCAAGAGGGGTGGCAGCAAAAGAAAATACCGGAGGGGCAGCCTGAAAAGTAGGAAACGGGGCGATGATGGTGAGTGAGGGAAGGGTAGGAGACGGTCAGACTTAGACACACATTGCTGCCAGGCCCTCCCTCTTGGAGGCAGCCCTCTCTGACCCTGAAATCTCTGTCCAAGCTTATTTCTAAGAACTAAATGCAGATGTGGGCATTAAGAGTATTGATGGGAATTTTCTAATTTGTGTCCCTCTTGCAAACCTGTCCTTCCCTACAGGCAATCGCAATTACCGTTCCCACCTGTGAGCCTCCAGCGGGCTCTGCCCTGGTGCACTTCACACAGCACCAGGCAGCAACAAGAACAGCACAAGGGGGACTGCCAAGGAGACCTGACTTCCGATGGAATGTGGATCAAATGCCAGTTGTGACAAAATGAGGAATGTATATGTTGGCTGTTTCTCCCCAACATCTTAATACCCAACATCTTAATAAAATTTTGAAAGCAGAACTGTTTCCTTTGATCTTTTGGTTGGAAAGACTTGGGTTCCTGAGCTAGGTGGGTTTGGGGAAGAATTGGCCAGTATGAAACCATTAAATGTGACTTGGAAAAATTCAAAAGTAATTTGTCTTCCAGTTCCCTCCCATGGTGGTCCTACTCTGGCCACACACCATGGCCATATTTGTCTTTATCCCAACTGCTGTCTCCCTCCCCAACATGGAAAGGGAGAAGAGATAAAAAGCGTAAACCAAAGGGAGAAATGCATTCATTAGCATAAGCCAAAGGGAGAAATGCATTCATTAGCATAAACCAAAGGATGCAAGCTGTTTTTGTCAGAGCTTATAGATTTACAGAGTTGTTGAAAGCTAAACTAAAGCTAAAGACTTGACCCAGAGATGGAGACCACCTGGAGGAGGATCTCTTAATTTATTGATCATATGGGCAGGATAAGGGATGGGAACACCTGGACAGAGACCAACATGGCTAGTAAGGGATCCTATTAGTCATAGGGGAAGTGATGAGGGTTTAGGTTTCTTTAGGTTATTTTGGGAAAGACTGAAGACTGGGGATATCAGCGGGTAGCATGACCGTCAATAAACCTGGAAGTAGGAATTGTCCCAGTCTGAGTAAGCCATAAGCCTCATTGATCATTTGACAGATAACTGTCTTCTTAGGGACTATAACGCTGGTTCTGCTTATTAAGCCCTAACTTTACGATGTCTCTTGTCAAGGATGTGACACCACCTCTCCACATTCACCCACTCAGGAATCTTAAGTGTTTCCTGTTGCCTCAGAATTGAGACTCATATTTAAACTCGAGCCGCCCACATGGTTTCTGGGGAAATAACCAGGAAAGGGTATAAGCAGGAAGGAATGAGGGGGCATGAGGTTAGACACGAAGTTTCCAGCAGTGGGGCGTGTGAGACAGGACCAGGAGCAGAGGAAAGAGTCTGAGCCTCATGCAAATGTGTGGGTACCAGGATATTGGGATGAAAAGACTATGAAGGGGTGGCAAGGAGTGTTGTCAACAAGTCATTTCAATTGTTGGGGTAAAAATTTTCAAGTCCTCACTCTTCCATAACCCTAAGAATGCACAGACTGATTCAGAGCTGTGTTCATGTGATAAACATCTCTCCACAGATATTTCAAAAAAGAGCTTGTGTTTCCCATTGTCAACTTCCCTTTTTGTCAAATAGGGATAGGGAAAATGCTTCACACCCTCATCCTCCACGGTTATATCTATTTTCCATGGTTATGTCTATTTTACCTCCTAAATGTGACATCTGTTTGTCTCTGCTTCTCTAACCAAACTCAGATTAGTCTATGTGTGTATGTAGTGTCACTGAACAAAGCTCTAACTTCTTAGAAGTTTGCACATGTTTCTGCTCCAGAATCTCTCCTTCAGAAGCTCTGAAAGAACTCATCAGCCATGGCTCTCACCCTGCTCTCACGCCCCTGGGAATTCTCTGCTTTTGCATAAAATATGAATGCTCCTTGCAACACATGAAACCCATAAAATAAATCCAAAAAATAAGGTTTAATTATTGTAATGTGCTTTCGCAGCTCTTGCTAAACCCACAGATTGGGTTCTCGGAGCAGAGATCGAGATGGGGTTTGAATGCAAGATGTTTATTAGAGGTCAGTCCTTGAAGAGGGAGGCTGCAGGGTTGTATGGAGGAAAGAGCTGAACACACAATCAGGCAGTATAGCCAGTCAGAGTATCCAACATGGGGCCAAAATGACCAGACCTTTATGCCCCACCAAGAAATGGCATTTCTTACTGCTGAGGCGAATGCAGAAGGGAGCATCAGCTGGAGATTGCTTGGTGATGCACACACATCCGCAATCTGAGCCGCTATTACAATTGCTGTCTGGATGATCTGTATCATTTCTCAGCCTCTGGTCCCAATCTTTCCCTTCTGCCTCTTCCAAGCTTACTGCCTTGCCGCACTTCCTGCTGTGACTGTGCGTCGTGAGTCTTCAAGTGTGAACAGCTCACTTCTTGTGGATTGCCAATTTGCACAGATGACCTCTCGCATAGGGCAAAGTCAACAGTCAGGAACAAACCCGAATACAGGGATGCTGAGTGTGCAACATTTACTTCCCTCAGGAACCTTGTTATGACTAGGGAGCTACAGATGCCTGCAGATGCTCCAAATGAAGACGTTAGCAAAAGGATCATTTACCAGGAGAGACACCTAGAGCCTGGCAACGAGGTCTTCAGACCCTTAGGAATGAGAAGGCAAAAGGGCAAAATAGCACTCCAGGAGCCCATTGACAGCCAAAGCTGTGTCTGGGGAGGGATGGTTGTGAATGGACCTCCTGGTAAAATCTATACTAGGAGGATCACAGCTGTTGTCAGGCTCAGACACAGGGAAGAAACATTTAGACATTTCTCTAATCTCCTGCTGCGCTTATTGACCAAACTCAGTTAGAAGCCAGCAGACAAGAGACCCCAGGTGACACGGAGCATAAGGGCCAGCCCCCTGGGACATCAAAGGGCAGAGAATGTTGGATAAAAGCTCTGAAAATCCAACAGTCATAGCTGACACAACTTTGTAGACAAAATTTCTTCTTTCCTTGGACTCCTTAGAAGTTTGCTATTTTATCATCCTGCTTACTTCCTCCCTTATGTTTTCATGGACCAAAATCGCTTCGGGAGCAAACTGTAGAGAAAGTGAGGAGAGAGACTCAGAAGAGTTACCCGGGGCTCCCGAACCCTTACCTGCCAAAACTTGTTTTCATGTTATTTGCATGACAGTATTATCCCCAAACCAATACAATTCGATATTCTATGATGGTTATATCTTCACAATACTCTAAACACTGAAGCAATGAATTAATCGTTAGGACAGGCATGTGGTGATCAGCCCAAGGCTACCCACAGCAGACAGATCCCCGCCCGGTGACTTCAGCCTCCGTCCTCTTAGATAAGCTGTGAAGGAATGGTAGCCGCCCGGAAAACTGTTTTGCACTAGGAACATTTTCCAGACCCACATATTGGAAATTTTTCAACACTGGCATTGACTTAGTCTCTGTACCCCAGGAATATTCATTCTGTCCCTCTGTTTACAGCTCCTGTAGCCCTCAGCACCTGCAAGGCATGTGTAGGGGTCTTTGACCATGGGGACGCTCTTGCGGAAAACCCAAAGGCCTCACCCCCTTTTTTCTCCTTGTGCTTTTTCTCCATCTCCCCAACCAAGGAGGACTTTGTTTCCCTTCCCAGTTTTCTCTAGAACGCTATGTCCTAAAGTCATCATTTGTTTGGACTTTTGGAAAAGTGAAAATCAAAAAAAAAAAAATTAAGAATCTTGGCCATAAGCCCTTTTGGGTCACCTTGACCTTCATGTGAGCTGACTTGGATACCAGGCCTCTGCTCCCCTGGCCTCAGAATCCGATGGGAGTGGTGAAGCCCAGGGGACCCGTGCATGGGTGGAGAAAACCCCAAGGAGCTATGGAGAGCACAGCCAACTCGCACCTTTCACCCAGCCTCTTCCAGATGACCCTTGGGTGGGACCTGCATCTGTGCAGCTGCAGGCAAACAGGAAGTTCTGGAGAAACGCTCAGGGCTACATTAAGGAGGTGAAGGCCCAGAAATGGCAGCGGGGAGGAGACTTTGTGCTCTGGGGGTAGCTGGTGCAAGACACGACCTAGGGCTTGGCTGTTGGAGTCACCCAAAGGTTCTGTCCTTTGAAACCAGAGAACAGCAGCAGCAGCCTGAAAACTCTCTCACTTTCTGGCTTTGCAATCTGAGCACTCACTTCCAGGCCTATCCTAGGAGAAGAACCCAAACTGGAAAGGGTCTTAATCCCTGATTTCTAGGAGCAATAGGTCTTGGTTCCAGGTTGATCTGCCTCACCAGGTTGTACATGAGGAAGCCAGCTATTTTAACAAAGCCTGCCTCTCCTCCTGTCTGGCCCCACCAAGCCTCTCTCGGTTCTTTCCCTGACCCCTCCCATAGCCCTCCGATCACGAGCTTTCTCCCGCAGCAGAGCCCTGCAGCCATTGAGGAGCTCAGTGTTGGAGAAGTGATTAGCATCACGGTACAAGAGAGTTGAGAATCAAAACCCAGGGGCCTGATTCCTTCTGGGCCAACTCCTCTTGCTCTGTGACCTTGATTGACTTATCAGTCCTGCCTCATTCTAAGTTTTGCGCATCTCTTCTCCTGCCACTGAGGCCAACTTCATCTCTTTTGATGGCCCGGTTTTATCATTGCCATAACCAAGCCTGACCTCAGACAGCAGAGAGCAGGGCAGCATGACACAGGATGAAGCACAAAGGCACTGAGGTGAGTGGACCCTGAGTCTGAATCCCCACTCCCTAGCTGTGTGATCTTACATGAATTTCATAACTCCATGAGCTTCATCTTCCTTATCTGTAAAATACCAGTCATAAAATCTACCTCTCAGGTGACTTGTAAGAATCTGAAATGCTATGAATTATAGGCCCTGGGTATATTGCATGACTCCTCATTTCTGGACTGGTCTTTTAGGTATAATTGTGCCTATCTGATCCCGACTCATGACTGCTTCCCAGACCTTAGTCTCAGGATGCCACACCAGAGGAAGTAGGCCCCACACTTGAGGACAGAAGTCCCTGGTAGTGCCTGCCTGCTCTGCAGAGAGCTAGCCTCAGGCTCCCATTGTGACCTCTACCTCTCCTGACCCTTTTGCCTAGGCCAGATCCTGAGATCAGAGAGTACCTACATCTCCCTGGGGCTTGCTTTCCTCTCCTATAAAATTTAGGAGTTGGGGCCAGGTGTGGTTGCTCACACCTGTAATCCCAGCTCTTTGGGAGAAATAGGCAGGTGGCTCACAAGGTCAAGGGATTGAGACCATCCTTGCCAACATATTGAAACCCGTCTCTACTAAAAGTACAAAAATTAGCTGGATATGGTGGCACACACCTTAATCCCAGCTACTTGGCAGGCTGAGGCAGGAGAATCGCTTGAACCTAGGAGGCAGAGGTTGCAGTGAGCCAAGATCACACCACTGCACTCCAGCCTGGCAGCAGAGCAGGACTCCATCTCAAAAAAAAAGAAAAAACAAATCAGGAGTTGTGGATGATCTTATCCCTCTACCTAGACTATAGACTCCGGGGAGCTATAGTCCCCGGAGGCAAGGCATTCACGAGAGAGCATCACAGTCACATCAGGACACAAGAGAGCATCACAGTCACATCAGGACACACAAACAGCCATGGAATCTTGGAAAAAAGACCAATGAGTCCACCTCTTAAAATACTGTAAAAAATAAAATCTGACTGTGAAGCTTGGTGAAAAGGACCAAGAATGGATTAATAAACTCACCAATTAGCATCATACTTTTTCCCATTAGCATTGGCAAATATCTTTCAAATTAATTAGCTATGAAGTCCCCGGGTCTAACACACAGGTGGTTTTAATAAAAAGGTGTAAAGAGCTTGAATTTCACAATCAGCAGGGATCGTCCTCAAAAATGCTTTAGAATAAAAACTTTCCTAAAAGTTGAAGGAAGGATACAGGCTTCAATGGGCTTAGAAACTGGACCTTTATTTGTCGAAGTACTGTTCCCTTTAGGAACATGGAAGAAAAATACTACACCAGCTATACAATAATACTTCTGCAACTATATGTGCATGGAATCACCAGGGGATCCTGATAAGATGCAGACTCTGATTCTGTCCAGGGTAGGCCTGAGATTCTGCATTTCTGAGAAGTTCCCAGCTAGGGCTGATGCTGCTGGTCCAAAGACCAGAGTAGCAAGGACATAAGAATACTCAGTTGGAAGCCTATAGCACAGGTCCTAACCCAGCTCCCCCGAAACTTCCACAACCATTCATTACCCCTGTCTGAATCTGATCTTGCAACCGAGGGATAGCAGAAGAAAAAAATGAAAGAAGAAATAAGAAAGTGCTCTGCAAACAGTCAGGCTTCTCCCCCCATGGCCACCATTGGACTCTTGAAAGAGGATCACTGGGTTGTTTGTTTGTTTGTTTGTTTGTCTGTTTGTTTGTTTTGAGACGGAGCCTCACTCTGTTGCCCAGGCTGGAGTGCAGTGGTGCTGTGATCTTGGCTCACTGCAACCTCCACCTCCCAGGTTCAAGCAATTCTTGTGCCTCAGCCTCCCGAGTAGCTGGGATTACAGGTGTGTGTGACCAACCCCAGATAATTTTTGTATTTTTAGTTAAGGCAAGGTTTCACCATGTTATTCAGGCTGGTCTCGAACTCCTGACCTCAGGTGATCCACTCAACTGGGCTTCCCAAATTGCTGGGATTACAGGTGTGAGCCACCACACCCAGCCTTGATTTCTGTTTTGACCAACCCTTTCCTTTTTTTTAAATTTTATTTCCTCCCCTACGCTGCAGATCATGAGCCATATCACCCCTCATCTGCTGCTTGAAATGTACATTCATTTGCATTTGATTGAGATCAGCAGAAACAGATTCCTTCTTCTTAGAAGTGGGGTGAGGTGGGGAGAGGATGAAATCTATTCGAAGAATGTAGAAGAGCTCGGGGAATAGGAGGAAAAGCTGAACAACTGGGCCTCACAGTGGGAGCCAGGCAGGCATCAGATGGGGCCTCAAGGGCAACCTTTGATTGAAATGACTGTTTCTCATTCTTACACCACTCATACTAAAAATTCAGAGTCCCGGGAGAGAGAAAATGATGCCTAAGCTTGTGTTGCTGTGGGGACAGCAAGGGCTGGTCCTGAAAGGAAAATTGAGAGACTGATACCAAAGATGGGAATATGCATGCTGATCAGCCAGACACGATGATACCCTCTACAGATACAAGAAACTACTTCCCTGCCATGCAAAGAATTCCAGGATACCAGTGGCATAGCGTAAAAACAGCACACGACAGCCACTTTCCTGAACCCCTCAATCTGTGAACACACTTATAACATGCAGTTTTTTCTGTAAAATGGCTATCTTTGCACAAAGAATTTGTTTAAAATACATAACATACATTTGACTTTTCACCACCAGAACCGGAAAGTGACTTCATTCTCAACGCCATTATTTTCCCACACCTAGAGAGTTTGATCGCATCAAGAGAGGTAAGAGCAAACAGGGTAGGAAGGAGGGAGTCGCAGGACACTGCACTGCAGGACTACCTGCTGGAAGAATGGCCAGACTCATTTGCTAGTGTGCACGTTTTATATTCATGCCACAGCAAAAGGAAATGTGCCCGGGAGTCATAGACTCTCTGAAAGAGTCCAAGATAAATGCTGTGATGTCCTTGAAAGCCAAGAGTACAGTGACACAAAGGTGTGGTGGTTGGAGGGGACCCTGGCCTCCGAGCACACCATCTGTCCCTGCCTAACTCTAACTAGCAAGAATAGTCCCCTCCTCCTCTCCTTCCACTTCAAACAGCCAGGAAGCAAGACGAGCTCTGGCTGATTCTGCAGACAGAAGCTCCTTGGGGTTGAGCTCTGTGGTTCTCCAGCCTGGGATCCACTGGCCGCAGGAGCTACCAAGCACTGGAAAGTGGACGTGTTTGAATCGCAGTGTGTTCCTATAACATACGCATCAGCTACCAAAGCCACCATGCGAGAAAAAGAGTGTAAAATATCTCATTAATAACTTTTTACATTGATTACATGTTAAAATAATACTTTAACTGTATTAAGTTAAATCAAATAAAAAGTGAATATTTACATGTTTCTTCTTTGCTTTTTAGAATGTGGCTGCTAGAAAAATTGAAATTACAAACATGACTTGCATTACATATATTTCCGTATTTGGATAGAGTTGGCCTAGGCTGCCCTGGGTTTTAACTCCTCATTCCTCACACTTTCTGCTCTTTGTGCTTAGAGCAATGCCAACTAGCCAGGCCCTGTGCTAGACAGAGCCCATTATCTACCCGCACCTTTCCTCTCTCTCTCTGTCTCCTTCTTAGTTTAATCTTTCAGGTCTAGAGTAGAGGAAGCGATCGCTGAAGCACTGTTGCGATGTTCTTGTTCTCATGTTCATCCTTGTTGCCTTCAATGGGCCTCTATGATCACCTTATCGGGGTGTCTGGAGGCAGAATTGCTGACCACTGTGTATCTGTATCTTTTCCACCCAGACAACACTTAGCTTCTTATGAAAGGGCTCAAAGTTGGTTTATAAGCATGTATAATTAAAACAGAAAATTGATTCTTTTGGATGTATTGGGAAGTTTTATATGTCACACACAAGGAGGAAAGGATGACATCTAATTTTCACCATGGTCTACTCAAATCTCTGCCTGCTAACTCACACACACACACACACACACGCCCACACACACACATGCCCATACACACACAAACACACAGACACACACACACAAACACGCACACTGCCACACACACACACACATGCCCCCACACACACACACACACACGCCCACACACACATACACACACACACACACACAGCAAAAAGTAGAGAAGCAAATATCAAGGGAGTGGCACTCAGCTTTAAACTCAATGTTATTTCCCATGTATTCATTTGAAAATACTAGAATTTCATTAATTTTACATTTAGGAAGAAGAATGACAGCATTACTCGTAAAACACCTATACCAGGTACTCTCCTAAGAGCTTTATGGTATTAACTTCTTTCACTCGCATCACAGTCCCATGAAGTGGATATGATGATGATCTCTGAGGATGAGAAATGTGTCCAAGGTCACAGGGCTAGTGAGTAGCAGAGGTGGGGTAGAGCCAGTCTGCTTTTGCGTGCTTAACTTACACTAAGCTACGCATCTGTGTTTTACAGGCAGAGGAAATGAGGCCTGGAGATCAGGAAAGACACACTCAAGATGGTTTGGCTAGTGACAGAGGCAAAACTGGAAATCTGTGCTCTATTGCCCTCCCGACCGCCACAAATGCTGTCCCCTGACCCATCTCTCTACCTGCAAAACCAGACTACGTCATTGTCTGAAGTGAACAGGAGTTTTGATAGGATGCTTAGGGGTAGAAGACAAGGAGGAGAAGACAGACGATGTTTCTAATCTCTCTTGACCTGACAGAGATAGGGCCAGTTGATTCAAACCCTAACCAACAAACAATAACAGAAAAACCCAACAGCCTGATTCAAACCCTAAGTAACAAACTGTATCAGAAAAACTCAGGCTTTCCCCACAGCCTGTTCTAGACTTGAATCTTACAACAACAACTTAGCAGTTATGTAGCCTTGAACACAGTATCTAGTTTCTCTGAGTGCTGTCACTTGTTCTGTAAAATTGGGCTAAGAATACCTTCTAGGATCAGCATGCAGATTTACATGGAATCCACGTGCAGAACAATTCTCACTATACCCGTTACATCCCGGGTACTCAATAAACATCAGTTCCTCCCCAGACACCCCTGACTCTTCTCAAGGTTAGCTGGAACCAAACAGGGACCCCTGAAATCTCTGCAAAAGGGTCTAACATGGAGAACAGTAAGTGTGTAGATCTAGAGAGTTGCCCCAGGAGCAGAGAAGGAGCAACCTCCACACGGACCACTGCATAGCAAGTCAGACAAGGGTTACCACTTGCTAGAAAGAAAGAGAAGGATTGTGAGCTTTTGATTGAGTCACAGAAGCCCTTTGTGTCTCCTCTGGGAGGGGAGGGTGGGGCCTGGGCTAACAGAACAGTGGTGGGCGGGGCAATCTGGCAGCCTTGATTTCATCGAATAAAGGTTGGTTCGATGCCCAGCCTGGCGTGTTGCAAGGCCAAGGATGGAGGTGCCCCATGAGGTGGAGACAGGTGTGGAGAAAGAGCAATGACTTGGACAAAGGAGACGCCTCTTTCTTACTTCTTTTAGATTGCATTTTAACTAAGTAAATTTCATTTTTAGGATTTTTGTGCTTAAAGGGAGCCCATTTTCCATGCCTCAGTTTCCTCAACAAAAACATAGAAACTCAAAACATTGTGGATATCAGAGGATGCTCCTAGGCCCACCTTTTCTATCTCCCAGTACACACCACAGATAGCTTTCGCCCCTGCTGAGCAGATGGAAAACAAATGGGTGAGACTCCAAGACTCCCAGAGACTAGAAAGCACCTTGGCCAACTTGATCTTCCATGGTTTTGGCTGGAAGAGAACTAGGCCAAAGGCCAAGTAGAGGCTCCCTTCTGGAAAGAGCCCTCTTTTGTTTCTCACTATCACCTTTCTCTTTGAAATTCTTCCCAAATGTTAAAACCCAACCCCAAGAATCTCTTGCTAATCAAGTCAGGCAAAAACGAATAGGCTTTATCATTTCTCAGTTCCTGGCTCACTGTGCATGCCTTTCTAGAAGTCCCCACTCTCTACAGATGCAATGATATTATAGCTGCTAGGGTCTCATGTTCCTAATAGAGCATACTTTCTCTGAAGATGCTCTGTCTCATCCATGTGGCTCACAACAGGGCCTCTCAGGCTGGGACAATATCCTCCCCACTAACTCAGGGTTTATTGAATGTCTACCCTGTACTCAGATTGTATTTATAGTTTCTCATATTCATCCGGGATGACAATCACTGTTCCATAAATATCTGTGGTATAAGAGGCCCTTATATCATACACTGGTGCTTGTGTAGAATGAGTGGTCTGGGTACCAATTTCACCCTTCGAGTTATATGCCTCTAAGGTGAGCAGGGCATCAAGATCCACATGAAAGAGACGAGTTTTACCATGGGCGTTCTGAGTATCTGAAAGATGAAACATATTGTCCTGGGTCCCTCAGGGTCTACACCAGGAGTCCCCAATTTTGTTCACAACACCTCAATTCTAAATGTAACTATTTGGCCAGAGGGTGGAAGAGGGTTCCATTAGCCCAAACTGCTGCTCCTGACCTGGACATCCTATGAGGACAGGTGGTGGGATATTTTGTACTCTACTGCCTCTAGCCTCTGGTAGAGTGCCTGGCACATAATAGTTGATCAACAAATGAGTGTTGAATAGATGGACAGATGGAGGTGATGCTGCTGATCAGGGACTACATACATCTTAGGGGGAGGATGAGAATGAAGAACATTGCAGTTAGAAGGGACTGTGAGGTTTTTCGAGACCAGCCTCTTATGTTTAGATTAAGATATGTGGGTCAAGTTCACATGGTGGAGTAGAAAGAGCACTCAACCAGAGGGAGACATGGAAACCTTGACTCTGGAAAAAAAAGAAAAAAACGCAGAAAAAAAAACCATCAGTAAGGGTGCTGTTAAGGAAGCAGTTCCTGCCATATCCCCATCCCCTCCGCTGGCCAGGTCAGAGCCTCTTTGTGCTCTTAACACATGCATGTTTATGCTCCCCAAAATCACATTTCACATTCTCAATTCCGTTCCTATGTAATTCTCTCACTGTAAGCTCCATAAAGCTGCGGGGGTCATGGTTTTGGTTTGTTCCTTTCTATTGGCCGTAGTATGCCCATCATCCACCACCACAGCTGAATTACATATTAAATATGTGTTAAATGCAAGAAGTTCTTAATTATGCATTCCTTCTCAATTGCATGCTAAATTTTTCATGCAGCCACCTTATAACTGTAAAGTTGCATTTGAGAAAGCTGATCAGAGCTGAAGCAGGTTGAATTCTGCCCTAGAGAGCTGGTAAAAACCAGAAAAATGCATGGCTGTTGGAGCAAAGTCGATCCTGCCTTCCATATACTTCAAAAGTATACGGTGTCTTTCAAAACTCAGACTAACACTAATCTGAGCTGGTCTTCAGGGACTTGCTCCAGGGTGGTAGGTCTGGGGGAGACAGTGATGCAGTTGATTCTGCTAGTGGAACTGAGAGAATAAGCAAACAGCCAGCAGTAGCCAAGTGGCAGCTGGGAGACAAGATTGGACCTCAATTTGAGAAGGCTCACACCTAGAACACCATTGGCAACAGGTGTCCTCCAAACTCAGGACTGAGAGAGGTAGAAGAATTAGCCAAAGACTGATGAATAAGCCTGACATCTTTTATTCTGTTCTGCGTTAAGTTGACCCAGTTATGTGCCTATAAATCGTCCTTCCATATATAAACTGTGTATTAAGATGTTGAGCTCCAATCAGAAATCTGAGAGCCATTTCCTGAAGCTGGCTTATCATCCAGAAAGACTTTAGATTTAGAACATGAGTGACAAGGCAAGTCATGGTTCCAAGGTCTGGTCTGAGCTTGGAACCATGACCCACCTTGTTGAGTTTGTCACATTTTTCTTGTGACAAACTCAACAGGGCAGCCAACAAGTCCCATAAACTGTGAGAGGAACCCAGGATTATGTCTGGGGTGTCCAGGAAGAAATCCAGCTCTAAGATTTTTGAAACCTTGGTGTGTATGTAGAAGTTGAAATTTTAAAAAAAAGAAAAAGAAACAAAACACAGTTCAAGAGCTGATCTATTAAAAATGCAAATCACGCCTGTAATTCTAACACTTTGGGAGGCCAAGGTGGGTGGATCACTTGAGGTCAGGAGTTTGAAAACAGCCTTGCCAACATGGTGAAATCCTGTCTCTTCTAAAAATACAAGAAAATTAACAGAGCATGGTGACGGGCACCTATAATCCCAGCTACTCCAGAGGCTGAGAATTGCTTGAACCTAGGAGGTGGAAGTTGCAGTGAGCCGAGATCCTGCCACTGCCCTCCAGCCTGGACGACAGCGTGAGACTCTGTCTCAAAAAAAGAAAGAAAGAAAGAAAAATGCAAACAAGCAACACGTTGGACTCAGAAATTTCACCTGAGGCATCTGCTATGGTTTGAACATTTGTGGCTCCTCCAAAATTCATGTTAGATTGAAATTCATTCAATCCCCAATGCAACAGTATTAAGAGGCAGTGCTTTGGGGAGATGACTAGACCATTAGGAATCAACACTTAAGGATAGAATTAGTGTCTTATAAAAGGGCTGCAGGGAACTAGATAGGTCCCTCTTTGCCCTTCCACTTTCTCCCATGTGAGGACTCAGTGTTCATCTCATCCAGAGAACACAGCATTCAAGACACCGTTTTGGAAGAAGAGACTGGGCCTCACTAGACACCAGATCTTCTGGGGCCTTGATCTCAGACTTCACATCCTCCAGAGCTGTGAGAAATAAATTTCTGTTATTTATATATTGCCCACTGTCGGATATTTTGCTACAGGAGGAAAAACTAAGACAGCATCTATTCTAGAGAAATCGTCACATCTCTGCACAAAAAGTGTTCCATAATAGTCACGGTAGAATTTAATGTTTACAAGACTCTTAACATAGTTGTTTACTAGTAAAAACGTGCCTGCTGCGAAGTGTAATATGGACTTCTCCATTGAAGTACACCCTAAGGGACTAGTCAAATCAATTAAGCCACATCTGTACCATGATACATTCCATAGCAGTTTAAAAGTAGATGTGTGTGTGTGTGTATGTGTGTGTGCATAGACACACACATATACATATGCTCTGATATGGATAGATTTCTAAGTCATATTACTAGGTAAGCAAAAAAATGCAAGAAGCAAAACAATACATATAGTATGATTCCCCCTTAAATTTAAAAGGATAAAATTTTTATATTTAAAAATAAAGTGGATGAGTGTGTGTGGCATGTCTATATGTGTATGTGTATACATATATTTACAAACACACATACACATACACGCACACAATTTTGTACATTATTTTCTTATGTCAGCCCTAGCAAACCAATACACCACCGTACAATCAGAAAACACTCCAAATTTTGGCTGTTCTCCCCTTATAGTTCTATCACTTACTTCTGTTTCCTGCCTTATCCCATTGACTATCATATCCATTCTTTTAAAGTTTAGGATGCAGTGCAAGAGAGGAAGTCCTCATTTGACATTCCAGGAGGCTCGTTTTTATTAACTAAGTCACTTAGTATGAAAGAACTAACTCTGAAAGGTATTACATGTTATTCAGTTCATTGTAGGAAGTTGACACTGTCATTTTGGTGACTAGATCAACAGATTGAGGCTTCATGAGGATGAGTGACTTGTCTTGGTTGAAAATCAGACTCTAGCTTTCAGTTTCTGTATTGAATTCCCTGCCTACTCTATCTTATCACCAAACAATTGACCAACAATGAAAAAAGAAATTTTAAGTATGTATTAATCAATGCGATGATTATTTCTTTTGAGGGCTTAAATTATCCTTTCTGCCACTAATTCTTGCTTTCCCTTCCTTGAGGAGAAGAGTGTTTTCTCCAAAGGAAAGGCAGGGCAGAATAGCTGTAGAACAGAACACACACTTCTTAGGGCTGCCTTCCCAGCCCTCTCTGCTATATTGCTCAGGGAGGCAGCTAATACTAGTGGGAAGTATTTGGCATGGTGGCAGCTTCCAGGAAGATGGTTCCTGCTTCTGCTGTTGAGGAGTGTGGGCTATACAGAGTGGCTTACTTCAGCGAATGAGATACAGCAAAAGTGATGATTTGTCATTTCCAAGGTAAGGCTAGAAAAAGACTGGCTTCAGTCTTGCTCACTCTCTTTTGCATCCCTCGCTTAGCTTATCGCACTGAGGGAAGCCAGTTGCCCCACTGTGAGGGGCCACAGGGAGAGTGATGCACAGCAGGGGACTTAGAGCAGCCTCTGGCCAACAGCCAATGGGGAACAGAAAACCCATTCCAACAGCCCGCAAGGAACAGCATTCCGACAAATGAGCTTGCAGGGTGGACTTAGAAGCAGATTCTCTCCCAATTAAGTCTCCAAATGAGCACATAGCCCCTCCTAACACCTTGAGTGCAGCGTCCTGAGAGATTGTGAGTCAGAGGACCCAGCTAAGACACACTTACTTTTCTACCCCATAGAAACTGTGAACTAATATGTGTTTATGGTTTTTAAACCACTAATTTTGGGGTTACTTGCTTGCACTGCAATGGATAATGAATAAGTTCAGTCCAGAAGTGGAAAGACCTGGGTTCCGGTCTCACCTCCACCAATAGTTTATGACTAACCTTTAGGCTAGTACTTTTCCCTCTCTGAGAATCAGCCAGCTCCTCTCTTGTGCAATGAGGAATGTGAGAGATAGCTCTAAAAATCTCTTCCAGCTCTCAGACTTTATAAGCCTCTTCACACAGCATCCTAAATATCTTCCTATGTCCTCTCCCACCCTTTTTCTCCCCTTTTGTGTTCCCCTTCCTTTCTTCCAGGCCCCCTGGCCTCTCCTTGGGCTCCATCGTCCCTGCTCTTTTCAAATACGGCAGTGAAAAAGAGAAGATCTTCCTAGGGGAAGAGGCCCAGCCCCTATGACCCATCCCAGGACTTTACTGGAACTTCAGAAGCTAAAGGCAACAGGAGGGATGTTACAGCACTCTGTGAATTTCTCCCCGACTCAGACATTCACGGGCTGCTGCTAACTGCACACCTCAGCCCTCAGCCCTCAGTCCCCTCTTCAACTTTTAGGAGACTCACATCACATCTTCTTCCATGTTCCCCCAAAGGAAGCTCCAAGAGGCTCTCAAAGCCTGTCACCTGACTTCAAACAACACCTGGGCCCGAGTCAGCCCAGCACAGTAAGTTCAGCAGATGGCATCTCCGGAGACCAGTACCTTCCGCAGAGAGTGCTGACCTGGTGCTTTCTCCAGAACATCCAGGCTGGTTCCAGGGGAAGCAATTCATGGGCCTGAGGAGGAGGCAAAGAGGCCATCTGGAGCATGGGACCTAGTTTGGGAGCAAGCGCTTGGAGTTCAAATCTCGGTAATGCTGCCAGATTGCCTGGGTGCTGAGGAACAGGTTCCCAGCTCTAAGCCTCAGTTTATATTCCTTTAAAATAGAGATAAATTCCTGGGATATTTCGATGTCTCCTAACACAGCTGCGCCCACACTCTGCAAACCTCTCCTCATACACTTCTCTTCAACACCCCCAATCCTTCCTTAGAAGGCCCTCAACTTCCAAGAGACAGTACGAGGGGAGAGCGCCTGTTTCTTTAAAGACAGAAAGCATGGCAAAGGAAAGCTGATAGTGAAATTGAAATACAGAATCTCTCCCTCTATTGCCTTCTGGTTCTGTTCTCTTGAGGACACCCATCCGTGCAGCCCAGTATCATAACTAACAGGTCCTGGCAGCTGTGCTAACAGCCCTTGTGTTCTCTAGAAGGGGAAAATGAGGTACAGAAAAAGAATTCACTTTTTTAATGCATTTTAATTATTTTCTACTACACCTGTATCTGTGAAAGGAATCTAGGAGAATGTGATTCATTTACATTCAGAAGAGTGCATGCCTGAGAGGCAATGCAACTACCTGCTCTCTCTTTCGACAGCGTGTAAAAGAGAAAACACATCTGACTCTAATAGCTTAAACTTTAAAAGGGGCTTATTAGCTCGCCTAATTTTAAAAGATGAAAGGTATGCCAGCTTCAATCGTTTCACTTAGAATTTTTTCTCATCCTTTGTCTCTGTTCTAACCTCAACTTCATCTTAACACTGGTTCCCCTACTGTTCTTCAGGTAGCTGCCAGCCGCCCCCAAGGTCATGAGCTTCCTCGTTCACATGGAGAAGGAAGGCAGGAGCTTCTTTGTTCCAGCATTCACAGCGAAAGTCCTCAAGTTCACTGGGACATGGCTAGCTTAAGCCATCCAGATGTCATCATTACTGGAGACTGGATATGCTGTCTGACTGAGCTCCCCGACTGAGCCAACAGCAAAATCAACTTCCCCAAACCACTTGAATTCCCAAATAAAACTGGAGGCCTCTGGGGAAAAGAAAGACAAATGGATACTGGGAAGATAACCAACAAGAATCTGCTATAGACGCAAAGAGGTTCTTCAAGTTCAGAGCCCCAGGGTTTTAAAGCCAATAACAGCCATACTACCCAGCCTTTCCTAGACCTCTGCATGATGACAGAGCATCACACCCCACCCAGACAAGTGTGCCCATGCACACACGTAGACACTTATCCTCTCTGCAAACCAATTCCTCATCTGGAAAACAAAATGTTAGAGTAAATCATCTCTAAGCGATGGTTCACTTCCAAGATTCCATGACTGCATGTGAAGCAGATGTGTCCCTGGGCTCTGTGAATCCACATACAGACCTAGGCTGGTTAGTTCTCACTGCAGACCCATCTCTGCTCTTTTTGGGCCCAGGGGTGCTCCTAGAACCAATCTCTATGAACTGTGTACCAGGGCACCCTTGCCAACTGGCTCTGGTTGGGTTTGGGCAGCAGAAGACATCAGCAGGAGATCAGGAGTTGGAAGGAAAGACATTAAGGGTGTCTTTCTTTCTCCATTCCTACTTTGGGTCACATTTCAGTTGTGTCTGTCCCTCGAAAGCCAAGGCTGCACCTCCTCTACAATTCCAGCTCCCACTGGGATTCTCGTAACACTGATCCCTCCCTTTCCCCTCTACAGCCGAAGTATGTTCATGGCTTTTCCACTGTTGCTGGCCCCTGGGTGTTTCTTATTGGTGTCTTCAAACCTGTCCACACCTTTGAAAGTAGTGCTTTGTTGGTTTTTTTCACTCTTTTGTTTTTTTTTCATTTGAACTGTTTGAGTTGAATTCTGGAACCTGACTGATACAACATACATTCTTACATTCCTCTTTGAACATGCTGCCAGGCAAAAATAAATAAATAAAAACTGAGGACTCCTTATTCTTATACATATGTGCACACACATGGACAGGGAAATAAATGGGTTCTACCCTCGGGATGCAAATAGATTTTATTTCTATGATGATCCTGCCAAATCGGCAGCGTCTGTCAGGAACACTGGGTTGAAAAGGATTCTGTCTGTGGAGTAGGCTGAATGGTGGCCCTAGAAATGATACATCCATGTAAAGCCCAGAACCTATGAATGTGACCTTATTTAAAATAGGGTCTTTGTAGATAATTAAGGGTCACGATGATATCTCCCAGGATTCAGAGTGTACCCTAGACCCAATGACTGATCTTTGAGAGAAAGGCCGACAGAGATTTAAAACACAGAGAGAAGTCCACATGAAGATGAAGCACAGATTGGAATGATTCATCTACAAGCCAAGGGCTCCCAGCAGCCCCAGAAGCTACGAGAGAGGCATGGAAGAGAGTTGACCTCAGAGTCTTCCAGAAGGAACCAACCCTGCTGACATCTTGATTTCAAACCACAGGCCACTGGCCTTCAGAACTGAGACTCAATTTCTGTTGTTTTAAACCAGCAGCAAGTCTGTGATAATTTGCACAGCAGCCCTGGGAAGCTAATCCTATCTGCTCCTTAACTCAGCTGAACAGAGTGTCATGCACAGCCCAGGGAAGGAATCTACCATCGCTATGCTCTCCAGTTCGGACAGCTGGGAGAGCCACTGGCCTGTATGAGCATCTGTGATCCTATGGGCTTCCTTATGAAAACATGTGTATGCGGGCATTCTAGACTCCAGGAAACCGGTGAAATATGACACATAAGGCACTCCAGAGAATACTAAAAGATGACCTGAAAGAATACGCAGACAGTTACAGTTAGAGTCTCAGGTTTCCTTGTGAGTGTGTGCATGTGCACACACACACACAGTCTGAGGGCAGAGATGATGTCTGTTTCATTTAGTGTTCCTTTTTTGTTTTTGTTTGTTTGTTTTGAGATAGAGTCTTTGTCACCCAGGCTGGAGTGCAGTGGCGTGATCGTGGCTCATGGTAACCTCCACGTCCTGGGTTCAAGCGATACTTCTGCCTCAGCCTCCTGAGTAGCTGAGACTACAGATACATGCCACTCTCATGCCCAGCTAATTTTTGTATTGTTAGTAGAGATGGGTGTCACCATATTAGCCAGGCTGGTCTCGAACTCCCGACCTCGTGATCCACCTACCTCAGTTTCCCAAAGTGCTGGGATTACAGGCATGAGCCACTGCACCCAGCGTCATTTAGGGTTCTTTTTCTCCAACTGTCCTTGGGCCATATAGTGCTTTGCACACACAAGGCACCAGATCAGAGTTTGTTGAACGAAGGAAGGAGAGAAGAAAATGAATTCATTGGTTACTTAGTGAATTCTCAGGACATGGACTGTAGCCAAAAGAAGCAGATTGCTCTTGGATACACCAATAAATCCCTTTGCTGATCTATCCTTCCAAATAGACACAAAATGCTAAGCTAAAAATCATAAATCTGTGGGAAAGTCACAATATGGACCAAATTGAATTACCTGGGTCAAGAATTAATTCAAACCTGTGCAGGCCCTTGCCTACACCCCTCAGGCACACTGTCGTTTCCAGCACATTTGGGTATATAAGAAGGACTAAGTGACCCTGCTAGGTTAGTAAACATCTCAATTTGATGAGCAATTAAGGCAGCATGGCCAGAGGTCAGGGACGCAGACTCTGAAGCAAGCCTTCCTGGACTCAGATCACAGCTTTGCCACTGACTATCGGTGTGACCACGGGAAGATGAAGTAACCTCTCTCCATCTCAGTTCCTGCATCTGTAAAATGGGGACAATAATAGTACAACTCCATAGGGTTACTGTGGGGATCACATGACTGACAATTTATAGACTCCTTAAAACCCAGGCTGGTAGAGAGAGCACTACGTAAATGTTTGCTGCTGTTATTCTTCCTTTTTGCATTCACATATATCTTGCCCAATGGACAAATTAGAGCTCTCAGCCAAGCATGGTGGCTCACATCTGTAGTCCCAGCACATTAGAAGTCTGAGGCAGGAGGATCGTTTGAGCCCAAGAATTCATGGCCAGACATAATGAGACCCCCTATCTCTACAAAAAAAATTAAAATTAGCCAGGCATGGTAGTGAGTGCCTATAGTCCCAGCTGCTTGGGAGGCTGAGGTGAGAGGATCCTTGAGCTTGGGAAGTTGAGGTTGCAGTGAGCCAAGATCCTGCCACGGCATTCCAGCCCAGGTGGCTGAGTGAGAGACCCTGTCTCCAAAATAAATAAATAAATAAAAATTTTAAAAACCAACAAAACAACACACGTGAGCTCACAAAGCTTAACTCTGGACCTCAGAGTATTCCAGTGTCAGATGAAGGACTGAAGGACGGTGTAGACATGGACTCATGACAGGGATCCCATAGTAGCCCATCAGCAAAGTGTGAGAAGTTAGTGGGACAGGCTGAGGCACAGATGAGAGGCCAGCAGAGGCAGGAAGAATGTCCTCCATTCTCCAGTATGGACACAAGTACTGCAGGCAGCTGGAGGTCTTATATACAAAATGCCTTCTTTGCTTTGCATGGTGCTCCACCTTCTTTCTCTCCTTCTTTTCTGAGCCGAGAACACTGTCATTTTGTGAAGAGAATAACAAAAAATGCATATATGCCTATAAATGGAAGATGAAGTGGAGACTGAGGCCTTCCTCCTGCCAAGGAAAACAAGTGTAAGGCAGCTGGAGAGAAAGGAGCCAAGGAAGTCTGCGGAATCAGAAGCGCTCCATCTCCCTGGGACCCGACACTGGCCTGTGCAGGCCTGGCCATCTGGGAACGGCAGCTCAATGGTCCTGCCAGGAACCTTGGGGCTGCAAATCAAGAGTTGCTGGGAGCTGAACGCTGAAATTTGCTATGGGAAAAGAAAGAGACAATTGGAAGCCGGTGGCCCAGAGAAACCGCTGCTGAATTCGACAGGCATTGACTGAATAATTGCTGTGTACAAGGCATGGAGCCACAGGCAGCAAAAGCAAGGCTGGCATGCTTTCCATCCTTGAAGACCTAGAGTCAATGGGGAGGAGACCTGTGAAAGTGAAAGTAAGACGAATACAGATGTGACGGCACCTTCCAAAGCATCAACTCCACTTTAAATCAGGAAGAACTCGGTTTCTGAGGAGCAGGGGGCTCGCCCAGTTTGAGGAAGTGTCACTGAAGATAAGTTGCAAAGGAAAGGCAGGATTCTGACAAGGGGAGATGGGGCCACGGGAGGGCAAGTGACTAATGTGACCAGACATGGAGGCGGAGAGATAAAGTCACCTCTTGGTAGGGGGAGGAGGGAGAGCATGGGATCCAATTTGACAGGTTGGGCAAAAAGTGACAAAAAATGTGAAAGTACACAACTTGGGCGAGCACTCTTGAAACCAGGCTGGGCAATCTCTGCCTGGTTCTGGAAGCAATGGAAACTCACTGAAGGCTTGAGAGCCTAGAAAGCATGAGACCAGCACTGGGCTCTAGGATCTTATGGACAGCAGGTGAAGATGGACTGGAACAGAAAGAAAGAAGACTCCTATCAGCCCCCAGAAAGAAGGAAACCTAAGGCTTTTGTGTGACTTAAAAAAAAAAAAAAATCTAGCCGGGTATGGTGGCTCCCAAAGTGGCTCATCCCAGCACTTTTGGAGGCCAAGGCAGGCTGATGGCTTGAGTACAAGAGTTTGAGACCAGCCTGGGCAACTTTCCTAGAGATAAGAAGACCCCATCTCTACCGAGAAATAGAAAAACTAGCCATGCATGGTTGCGTGCACTGGTAGTTCCAGCCACACGGGTGGCTGGAGGCTGAGGTGGGAGGATCACTTGAGCCAGGGGAGGTTGAGGCTGCAGTGAGCCATGATTGTGCCACTGTAGTCCAGCCTGGGTGACAGAGAGAGACCCCATTTCAAAGTAATAATAATAAATAAATAGTCAAAATTCTCTACCACAGTTTACCTGAGGAGGCCACTCTGCCCATCCTTCCTGCCTCATCTTGTTCCACCTTCCCTGTGCTCCAGCTGCACTGATTGGCTTTCTGGTCCTTTCATACATCAAGCTTTTTTGATCTCAAGGCCTTAGCTTGTCTCTAAGATGGTCACCATCCCTTCCCCCCTCAAAGACACCAGCAATTCTCCCTTTGAGAAGTGGAGTCTAATTCTCCATGTCCTACCATCTGAGCTAGACTGTGACTTCCTCGATCAAGAGGATATTGCAGAAGTGATACTAGCCCAGCCTGGGTCTAGCCTTTTAAAAGACAAACAATTTCCTCTTCCCTGCTCACTCTAGACGAAGCCAGGTTTCCACAGACGTTCAACCATCCTGAGCCCTCCATGCCATTAGGAAGCCCAAACTAGCCATGTGGAGAAGCCACATGGAGAGAGAGCATTGATAGCAACCTCCAGCTATTCCAGCCAACCTCACCCAAGGGCCAGGCATGGGAGCGAAGGAGCTCTCTGGAGTATTCATTCAGCCACGCCCAGCCTTCCGATGACTCCAACCCCAGCAGCTATCTGACTACCACTGCATGAGAGACCCCAGTGAGAATCAACACCCAGCAGAGGCCAATCAATCCACAGGGCTGTGGGAAATAATGGTACCTTTTTGTTCTAAGCCACTAAAGTTTGGGGTAGTTTTGTCTTCCCTCTAGAATATTTGATCTCCCTCATCCACACACTCACATCCCCTGTCAAACTTCAGGCCCCATCCCACTTTAGGGCCTTCATTTCCCACCCAATCTACACACCCCAGGTCCCCACCACGCTGAATGTCATCATGTTACTCACACTCCTTGCTCCCTTCCTGACATATCTCATAAATGACTTATTCTGTGAGTGACTGCTACCTCTCTCCCTTCACTAAACATGGGCTCTCTGAGGTTAGAAGCCATGAATACTTACTTGAACCACTATTTCATTACCATACCTAGCAGACAGTATGTGTTCAATAAATATTTGTCAAATGGGTGAATAAGTCATAATCTCTACATAGCACAGAGCCACCGACAGGATGATGATAATTTTCCAGAGCCCCACTGGTCTGTCAAGCAAATAAGTGAATAATTACATTTAGCTGAGACATTAGTCTTGCTCCGAGAGGTTCATAAGCTGCTTTAAAAGTCTCTGAAGTATGTTCCTTCTGTATTCCCCAAAGCAGCTGACCTAAGAGGGGCTGCATAGAAGCTGTTCATTACATATTCACTGATTTATTGATAGAAAATTGGATAAAAAATCCAGCCTGGTCAACAGAGCAAGATCCCATCTCTACAAAAAAATTAAAATAAATTGGGCCAGGCAAAGTGGCTCATACCTGTAATTTCAGCACTTTGGGAGGCCGAGGCGGGCAGATCACCTGAAGTTGGGAGTTCAAGACCAGCCTGACCAACATGGAGAAACTCCATCTCTATTAAAAATACAAATTTAGCCAGGCATGGTGGTGCATACCTGTAATCCCAGCTACTCAGAAAGCTGAGGCAGGAGAATCACTGGAACCCAGAGGGAGAGGTTGTGGTGAGCTGAACCATTGCACTCCAGCATGGGCAACAAGAGCGAAACTCAGTCTCAAAAGTAAATAAATAAATATAAATTAGCCAGCATGGTGGCATGTGCCTATAGCCCCAGCCACTCATGAAGTTGAGGCAAGGACGGCTTAAGCCCAGGAGGTCCAGGTCAAGGCTACAGTGAGCAGTGATTGCACCACTCCACTCCACTCCAGCCTAGGCAACAGAGTGAGACCCTGTCTCGAATAAAAAAAAAAAAAAAAAGGGAAGAAAATGTATCAAAAAACTCCAATGATTTAATGGATGGGTTATAATAGTAGAGTAGATTCTGGGTGGTCTAACACCAAAGGGATCCTCCTAAACCCGAAAGAGATCATTTAAAAGACAGTCAAGAGAGACTGAGGCGGTTTCCTTCTCTTTTAGCAGCTCTCCTCAATGCAGAGAAATGTACAGAGTATGTCCATCCCATCTCCATGGTTACAGGAGGCGGGCATGATTATTTTCATACACATAATTACGAAGAGCCTCCACATGGTTATTCCTTTTTCAGATGAAGAAACTGAGGTTCATGGGGGAACCTCAGGGAATTCCAGGAGCCGGCCACAAGGCTACTGTTTCTTGTTTCCAGTGGAAGAGGGGTTAGTGAGAAGAAATCCAATCAGAAGGCTGACTGGAATTCAAGGAATGCATGGATGATGCCAGGCAATCCAACACTGTGGATTGCCCGCCCTAGTCGAATCACAGACGGGATTTATAACTCCCATGCCTATCAGTGGTACAAGTCGCACTGTGTGTTCCAACACCTTTCTTACCATGGCACCCAGTTTTGATCCACACTAGTTGTGTCCATTTTTATGTCGAAGGGTGTGAAAATTATCACAAAGCTCCATTCTTTCTTACCAGACCAGTCTTATGCTGCTTCCTTCTCCATTTCTCCAGTACCCTTCACCCCTTTCTCTGTCAGCCAATCTTTCCTGGTTTTTTTCCTTTGCCCCTTTTCTAATGGTCTCTGAGTTTCTGCCTCTTTCCTGTATCCTGATGGTACTACAGCATACTACTGAGATAGTCTAGGGTCTCTTAGCAATCATTTTTGACCACAGGCCACCAGGGAGCCACAGAGGAGAGAGAAGGCTCTTCTGTGAGAGGTGGCCAATACAGGTGGGAAGATCCATGTTGCAGATGACTGGGAGTCAGAAGACCCCAGTCCTTCTCCCAGCTCTGTTACCTCCAGCCATGTGACTTTTATTCAAATACTTAACCTCGTGAACCTCAGTTTCTTCATCTGCAAAATGAATAACCACATGGAGGCACTTATAATTATATGAATAACAATAATCATGCCTGCCTCCTGTTACCATGGAGATGGACATAGACATACTCTGTACATTTTAAATACTAAATATATGTATGGAAATACAATTTCTGCTGTCTGGTCTCACCTAGCTTGAAAAATGCTGTGTTTCTGTCTTGGCTCTGCCCTTAATTACATCACCTTAAATAAGTCGCTGTCCCACTTTGAGTCTCAGAATCTTCAACCACAAAATAAGAGAGTACAGTGGCCTTGGAGGCATGAAATAGGACCAACACTCTGGGTCTATTTCACCCACTTTTTTATTCCTAGCGTTGTGTTTTGTGTGTGGTAGGCACTCAACAAATGTTTGCTGAATGAATGCATGTGTAAAGTGATATTTATGAATAAGCACTAAAAATATACATTAAGAGTGGTTAAAGGAAGTCTGGCTGCAGCAAGGTAGCAGATAGAGAAGGGTTCTAATGAAACCCAGCTGGCCAAGGGCACACCCCCCTCCTCCCTCCACGTTTCCGCACTGTCTGGCCCCATTCCCTGAGAACCTGGCCTGGGATGGCACCCCCAGATGAGCTTTGGGCAGATGCTGAGCATCTCTGAGCCAGATCACAGTGGAAGAGGCAGAAGTAGAAGAAGAGAGAGGAGATGGAGATGGACAAGATGGGAGAGCCCAGGAAAAGAAGGCAGGATGCTTCAAACTTCAGACTCTGACAGCAGAAAAAAACCTTGCAATTATGTGATCACGTCATGAACTTTCTCATTGTCTACGCAAGGGAACTTAGGGGACTGCAAGATCACCTGGTTCATTGGTGATCAGGCCAGTTTGAATTTTAAAGGAGAACAAAACTGTTTCTCCATGGGATGCCTTAACTATTTCATGTAATTTCTACCTCGCCAGACTGTGCAGAACTTAGAAGCAGAGACCAGACCTACTCCCTTGTCTTTCTCTCCTCTTTCCTCCAGGCTCAATTCCCCACCCCACTCCCACCCCCACGTCCCCCTTAGCACACAACAAAGGGACTGGATGTGGAGCAGATGCCCTGTAAATCATGAGGCCCATGGGCTGGGAGCAATTGCTTACTCACTGGAGAGCCCCTCTTCTGCCTCAAGGCAGCCACATCTGTTTCCCTACATCACAGAGGGACCTGTTGGTCTCAAAGGAGGAATTCACAGGGCTTCTCTATCACCTGCCTGGGAATGGGTGGGAGCTGGAGGAGGACCGCTGTTGCCAGAGACCACATGAGCACTGACCTCTGGCCCTGGCCGCAGCAGTAGCTGCTGTTGCAATGGGCCTTTGCCATGCCCCAGTCCTAGGGGAACATCTGCAGATCAGCGGTTGTCTTGGAATAGGCCATGGGAAAGTCAAGAGAAGCCACGGTGCTTGAAAACCATCCCGGAATCCCACTGGGACACTGTGCCAGAATACACTGAGCCCTAAAGGTCTTGGGTTTTATGCTATTTTACTCATTTTTATTGTTTGGCTGCACTTTTAGTTGGAAATTCAGAACACTAAAGTTATCCCAGGGCATGGGTTCCAAGCATGTCACATAGCTCTCCAGCAGCTGATAACTAGGGGACCTGTGTTCAGGATCCACAGCTGAGTGCTGCAGATCAGCCTAGCCACTAAGAACAACCAGTCTCTAAAAGAGACCCAAGTCCAGGGAAGCAATGACTGAGACCAAAACCCATATCTTGTCTTCACTCCTTAAATCTTCCTGCCATGGCCAGGGAAATGTAAGTTACTTGAGGGCAGGCACTTGCCTCATTCACTTCTGAATTCCCAGTACCTGGAGCAGTCCCTAGCACACAGTAGGTCCTCAGTAAGTATTTGACTAAAGAAATGGATAGGCTGGGAGCAGTGGCTCATGCCTATAATCTCAGCACTTTGCGAGGCCAAGAAAGGCATATCACTTGAAGTCAGTGGGGGGTTCAAGACCAGCCTAGCCAACATAGTAAACCCCGTCTCTACAAAAACACAGAAAAAGTAGATGGGCATGATGGTGGGTGTCTGTAATCCCAGCTTCTTGGGAGGCTGAGGTGGGAGAATCACTTGAACCTGAAAGGCACAGGCTGCAGTGAGCTGAGATCACACCACTGTACTCCAGCATGGGTGACAGAGTGAGACCACATCTCAAAAAAAGAAAGAAAGAAAGAAATAGATAAACTACCAGGTCATGCAAAGAGAATCTCTAGGCAGAGTGACCTCACCCCACAGCACTGCTCATCTTAGAATGTGATAGGAGAGGTGATAGGAAGGCAAAAGTTGGCCAACTATGGCCCATGGAATTCTGTTTTGTACAGTCCATAAGCGTAGAATCCTTTTCACATTTTTAATGGTTGGGAAAAAATGCAAAGAAAAATAATATTTTATGACATGAAATACATGAAATTCTAATTGTGGTGTCTATAAATAAAGGTTTATTGGAACGTAGCCACTCCCATCCACTTACTGGGATTGTCTGTGGCTGCTTTTGCAGAACAGCGACAGAGCTGAGTAGTTGCAACAGACTGCGTCACCCACACAGCTGAACACGTTTGCTACCTAGCCCTTTACAGGCGACGTTTGCCCAGCCCTGGCCTGAAGAGTTCCCCAGGTAGGTGCATGCAGGCTAGATCCCCAACATTAGCCGCTTGCGGTTAAGCATTGTTCTTTGGCTCTTCTTTTTTTTACTTTTATTTATTTTTATTTTATTGTAAATTGACAATTTGTAGTTGCATCTATTTCTGGGTACAAAGTAGTGTTAGGATTTATGACTATAATGTAGAGTCATTAAATCAAGCTAATTAACATGTCCATCACCTCATGGCTCTTTCTTTTAAATAGAAGGCTTTCTAGAGTCGTTTAAATTACCCTTAGCTGTATAAATTGTTGACAATTTTCTCCCTGAAAAAAACGGACCTGATCAAGAATAAGGAGAAACAAAGAAAGAAATATTTTTAAAAGGGTAAAGGACTCAAAAAGGGGAATTTCCCCAAAGACAAACTGGGTGCACTTTACAACGTTGCTAAGGGCTAGCACTATACCAGGGCTTTGAGAAAAGACAAAACAGAAAACTTCTCTGAGTTCACAGAAGGACCCCTTACCTTGCCCGGAAACAGCCACACCCCTGCCCAGGCTGGCTCCTCCAATCTGGCTTCCCTCAGTACATCATCCATCCTGATCCAGTGTGAATGATGCTGTCTTTAGATGTCTCACCTGCACCACAGGGCACCACATACAGCTTTCCTAAGCAGTGGAAATCATGGTATTGTTTATTTAGATCCAGACATAGCAAATGACATCCATCCCTTCCTCCCCACAGAAAACACTCATCACAGCAGTCCAGTCAGCAAACAAAATGACCACCACTTGCCATCTCTGATTCCATGCTTGCCTCGAGACAGTGAACTCCTTGCAAGTACAAATTCTGTCTTAGTGGGGTTTGTTTTGTTTTTTTTTTTTTTTTTTTGAGACAGAGTCTCGTTCTGTTGCCCAGGCTGGAGTGCAGTGACATGATCTCAGCTCACTACAACCTCCACCCCCCAGCTTCAAACAATTCTCCTGACTCAGCCTCCTGAGTAGCTGGAATTACAGGCATGCACCATCACACCCAGCTAATTTTTTTTTTCTGTACTTTGTAGAGGCGGGGTTTCACCATGTTGGTCAGGCTGGTCTCCTGACCTCATGATTCACCCACCTCAGCCTCCCAAAGTGTTGGGATTACAGGTGTGAGCCACCGCACCCTGCCCTATCTTAGTGATTTTTATTTCCCTGCATCTAACACAACACCTAACTTGTAATAATATTCAACTAAAACTAGTCCTCTCCTCCTTTTCCTTTTCTTGCCCTGTCATGCAGCTAGGAGATGCATGGAATCCAATGCTATTTCCACTGAAATGCTGCTAACAACCTCCCCAGAATTCTTTATTTCCTCCCCAGAGAAGAATGTGCATCTAGAACTTGAGCCTGGAATTCAGATCAGCTTGGTGTCAACACACATCTAGGGTCTCCCCATGGCCAGTGTGTCTCCCCCTTGGATATGCTTGGGCTTACTGGAGGAGGAGTCACCTAAGCTTGTTTTTCCTCTGTAGTCTTCTGATAGGCTAGGAGGGTTCAAGGTTCCAACTGAGTTCTCTTGCTTAACCTTGGGCAAGGGGAGAAAAAACAGTCACTTGTACACCTAACGACAAACCCCCAATCCTCTTGAAGGCAGAGGAAAGTAACTTCCCAAACTCTTCTTAAATAAGAAGAAAAGAAACTCTCCTCTTTCAACAGGTATTTCTGGCTGCTGGAGAGGGTGTTATTAATACAAGAATCTAAACACAATAGCCTGTCTCCTGGCAGCTGCCATTACCATGGCAACCTCTGGCTTTCACAGACTGCTTTGGATACTAAGGGCCTCAGAGACAGACTTCTACAACAACCAAATTTTTCAAAACTGACTTCTCAAGGGACTTACTCCTCTGGCAGAACAGACCCCTCCTAAACTTCCATTTAAAGGGAAAACCTAAAATCTGCCATTTTAAAAAATAACAGAAACCTCCGTTAAGTGCTGTTATCACATCAACCCTCAAAGACTTGGACAATATAGAATTTAAATTTTACAAGTGGAAAATAAAAATGTACTAAGTGAGAGTTGAGGATGGGAGATGGAGATCTGCTGGACTACCAGCAAATGGAGACAGCCATGAAGAGGCGTATTTGGGAAGGTAGTTCACAAACCTGAACCAGAGGAGACTCACCTGCAGAACATTCAAATACAGATTCCCAGGCCTTATTCCCAGAGATTCTGATTCTATAGGGCTGGAATGACACCTGAATCATTTTTGAAAGCTCTTCCAGTGATTCTGATGAACACTCAAATTTGGAAACCAGCAATCTGAAGACTATTCCTTGCCTCTTCCCCACCACGGTCCAAGGGCTCCCTCAATTCCTGCCAGCCCTCAATTCCAGAACCAGAGTAAAAGAAACTCATTTTCTTTAAAATAAAAGGAAGAAGCTGCAGCCCTGACGTGCACATGCGCTCTGTTAGGTGCTATACCCAGGGAACCTTGGAGCTGGAAGCCGCCCCCGGCCCTGAGCTGTGGAAAGGTTATGCCACGCTCTTGGGTTGCTGTCTGGTTTATTTTAGGTGCTGGGTCTGCAGACTTGTACTCTGACCTTCCTTGGCTCTCCCCCAGGGAGCCACCACCAGGCTCCTGGTATATCAAGAGCTACAAGGTACAATTTCCATGGCATCCAGGTAATAGGAACCAACTGGCAGCAATAGCTGAGACCTGCATTAGACCTGGGGAGGCAGCCTGCTGAAGAAGAAAGGTTCCCAGATGTGAGCCTTTGCACATGGTCTTAGCACGACTATTCACAGCTGTGGGATTTGGAGCTAGCCACTCTCCCTCCATGGGCCTCAGTTGCTCACCTATGAAATTAGGGGTTCAGCAAGGGATTCAGCACAGAATAGTGGAGGGAATGTGGATTCTGGGGCCAGAAGACTTGGAATCCTAGCTTCATCACTGACTTGCTTTGTGACGTTGGGCAAGTGGCTCTTCGTCCTTGTGCATCAGTTTCCTCATCTACAAAATGAATCTAAAAATGCCTCTCTCACAAGGCTGATGTGCCAGGTACAGATGATATGTGCCAAGTGCTTGACTTACACAGCAGCGGAGATCCAAGACACACACACACACTCACTTCTTAACTGTCAGCCTGATGAAGTAGGTGCCAAATCTGGATAGAGACGGTCTGGAGGGGTTTAGAAGATGGAAGAGTCTTCTGCATAGAACAGGTAGAAAGAAAGGGAAACATGAATTTCTGAGAGAAACAAAGTTTGACTTGGGATTTTGTCAAATGGATAAAAAATGAATAAGCAACTAGAGGACAAAACCCTGAAGAATAGAAGAACAAAAAAAATCTGGAATCTGGATTGGGAAATGTGGGTTCAAATCCCAGCCCTGTCCCTATCCAGCCTTGTGGTTTTCTGATAGCTGCCTCTGTTGCAGGAAAACACACACACACACACACACACACACACACACACACATACACACACACACACATAAAACAGGTTTTTTTCACACTACTGGGAAAATTTAGTCACATGAACACATTGTAGGGTGAGATGCGGGGAAGGGTTTATTGGGTGAAAAGGAAAGAGGAACTCTCAGCAAAGCGAGAGAGAGTCCTGCTACCAGGCCCCCACCTTACAAACTGAATTCCAGGATGCCACATAGGAACTGAAAAAGCCAAGCTCCTCCTCCCTGCTCCACCCGCTTCTCCCAGTGCGCAGGTGGGCACTATTCAAGAGAATCTGTCAGGGCCGGGGGCCGTGGCTCAAGCCTGTAATCCCAGCACTTTGGGAGGCCGAGGCGGGTGGATCACGAGGTCAAGAGATCGAGACCATCCTGGTCAACATGGTGAAACCCTGTTTCTACTAAAAATACAAAAAATTCTCTGGGCATAGTGGCGCATGCCTGTAATCCCAGCTACTCAGGAGGCTGAGACAGGAGAATTGCCTGAACCCAGGAGGCGGAGGTTGCGGTGAGCCGAGATCGCGCCATTGCACTCCAGCCTGGGTAACAAGAGAGAAACTCCGTCTCAAAAAAAAAAGAAAGAAAGAAAAGAGAATCTGTCAGGAAGGGGTGGGCTTTTCCCAGGACCAGCAGTCTGGTTTTTTAGCCTTCAGGCTTGTAGGCTTGTTTTGGGTTTTAGGTGGGTTTTCACAGGACACCCTTGTCTGCCTCCTGTCTCTAACACCTCATTTTTTTTTTTTTTTTTGAGACGGAGTCTTGCTTTGTCGCCCAGGCTAGAGTGCAGTGGCGCAATCTCAGCTCACTGCAACCTGTGCCTCCTGGATTCAAGTGCTTCTTCTGCCTCAGCCTCCCCAGTAACTGGGACTACAAGTGTGCACCACCACACCCAACTCAGTTTTGTATTTTTAGTAGAGACAGGGTTTCACCATATTGGCCTAGTCTTGAACTCCTGACCTTGTGATCCGCCTGTCTCAACCTCCCAAAGCGCTGGAATTACAGGCATGAGCCACTGCAACCAATCTCTATTACCTCTTTATCTATGGAATGGAGCTATGGCAAAAATTATCAAGATGACTTGAGAGAAAACACCTTGTACACTGCGTGGAACACAGCAGATGTTTAGCAGGTGGACGGATGGATGGATGGATGTACGGACAGATGGTTGGATTCTAGATGGGGACAGTGGGTGGGCAGTGGAATAGAAAGAGGAATGTCCAAGGCAGCTTTATAGGTCAGCGGGTATATCTCTACAGCTCAGCAATTTCTAAAGAGTGTTCCTGGAACTCTAGCCCCTAAGATACTCCTAAGGGGGACAAAACCATATTCCCTGGTCCATTAAACTTAGGAATGACAGTTTGATATATCACTCTCCTGATGATCTGCAATCATAGAAATGTGTCAACATATAAATGATTCTGCAAAGTCTTTTCTAGCTTTATTTATACCAACTAGTCCACAATTTAGTTCACTTCTAAACCAGTTTTTCACGTTAAATATGTTAACTTCACACTGAACTTGGCAGAGGTCTCTTCCTGAAGTAAACTAAGGCAGTGGCAGCAGAGACCCTTGGAAGAATTACTTGGGGTTTTCTTTGTGCTCCTGCTGCTCTGCACTTTAGGAACTGTCTGTGCAGCACTGTGTAGAAGCACCCTGGACAAGACAAGCAAGCATATTGAAAACAGCGTTCCGTACTTCCACACGGTCCCCAGCTGCTGAGCCATATGACCTTGGGAAAGCTCCTCAACTTTCCTTTGCCTCCATTTCCTCACCTATAAAGTCACAGTGCTTACCTCACAAGGTAGTTGCAAGAATCAAACGAATGAAGGTACCTAAGGAGGTTAACATGGTGCCTGGCACTTAGCAATCTGTCAGCAAAAGTGGTGCCGGTATTATTAGGTCACCATGTGAATATTATCTACCAGTCATTCTGTAATATCCAGCAGGATTTGGACGCTGAGTCCCAAGGGTAGGAATCATGCCAATTTCTGCCTCCATCTTCCTTGTGGGGATCAGCCTAGAGACACACACCAAGAGGAGGTGAGTCAGGCCATTGCAAAGGAGGCAACGTTGATGATGTCTGCCTCGTGCTTTCTCTGCATACAGAGCAAAAGAAGGGGGATCTTTCAGAAAAGCATCAAGTCTCGCAGGCTGGCAGCCAGCTACCAGGAGATGGAGAATCCGCTTTGTCATTTCTTAACAGCAAGAATAAGTGGCTTAGAGAAGAAGCCAGCTATACCCCCCTGGGAGGTCAGCCAAGTACCTTCTAAAAAAGAGAAAAGCAGGGAGGCACAGAACACTGAGTGCCTGGATCTGATCAGGGCTGTGGGGCAGAGACAGCTGGCTCCCAGTGTCAGAGACCCATGTCCTGCACAAATACCTCCACTCCAGGCTGGAGGGGATGCCCCAGCTTCATCTCTGGCCACAAAATCCAGTCCCCAGCTCGCCTCCGTTTGACGCTCTGCAGAGGCCTTACGGTCGGTTTCTCCTCCTGGGTTCATTCATTCATTTCGTTAATATCTATTGAATGCTTACAAGATGTCACAAGAAATACAGTTGTAAACAAGACAGGAAAAAGTCTCTGCACTGATGGAGTTCACATTTCCCAAGAGGGGAAGAAACTCAGTCAGGGTCAAACAGCTGTTTGCGTGTAGTGCCAGAAGCGTAATCCATGTCTCCGGTGCCGACCCCCACAAGCTACCCTCCAAGTTTGAGCCTTCTTTCCACACTTGTCAAAATTGTTTCCCACTGATTTCTTGAAGTTATTTGGACATTCCCCAAAAATGTTCTTTGTTCCACTATGGGGAAAGTTGTTACTTTTTTCCTTTTCCAACTTAATTTTCTCCATCTGCAATTTAAACTCATTCTCCATTTTAATCATTTTTTTTTTCCAAAATGTGCATGCTGTTGCTATACCTGACTTTTAAAACAATCCTGCCAAGTAGTTAGAGTATGCATTTTGGTTACCATGGACAGATGAGGAAACTGAAACATAACGATCAGATAAATTATATTCAGAAAACTGTTCATAGCTAGTTTGAGACACCCAAACTAGAACCTATTGCGTCTTGAGTCTTTGCCCAGGGCTCTTCCTTTTGAGCCAAAAAATCTTTTCAAGCCCAGGTGCTGCCATCCTTTTGCAGCTGAGGACTTCTAGCTCTTCAGAAAGAGGAAGATAATTAACATCACCCCAATCTTACTCTTCTTCAATTCACATAATTCTTTCTCTTTTAAACTCTCCTTTCTATGGCATAGCTTGATTCCTATTGGCTAAATCCATTTCCTTTTTTTCTTGGGCAGAGAGCTGAACTGCCTTTACCAGACTCTCTTGTATTTAGGTGTTTCTATGTGACTGATTTCTCGCCAACGGAATTTGATCGGAATTAATGCACACCCTTCCTAGTCGGTCCTTAAAAATCTCTCAGGCTCAACTGCCTGTGCTTTTTCCTCTTCCACCAGCTCAACGTAAATGAGCATGGCTACCTTGGAGCCAAGTATCTAAGATGTCAGAACCTCAAGTAGGAAAGATCCTGCCTCCCTGTATAACTGCTTGGAGGCAAATGGCCTGCTTATTAGGGAAATGCATTTTAGAGCTTTTGCGGACAAGAAGTAAACTTCTACCACGCGTGAGCCACTGTATGTTTTGAGACTTGTTTGCTACAGCAGCTAATATATTGACCTGGGTTAGAGACAACTGATTCTGGCTCAGGAAAACACCCAAGAGTATCTGCCTTCCAACACTTAGACTAAGCATAGAACCGGGAAGTGGAAGGAAGAAGCTCAGAGACCGTAAACCATGCCCTTCCTTATTCAAAAAAGAAGAAAATGAGATCCATAAATGGACACATCTGGCATTGCCTAAGGTCATGGAAGCCAAAAGGTCTCTACACAACTCCAGGGCTCCTTGTTCAGTGCTCTTTCCCAATCACACTGCCACTCTACTAACAGATGGAGGATATAGTGTCCAAGACAGGCTTGACAACAGGACTCAGATGAAGCTCACTGTGTCTTCCATGACTGTAACCTGAGCCTCACTCATAGAGGTTTACACCCACCTCTTTGTGCTCTGAGCTCAGGGAGGAGTAGCTGGTCACCTGCCTTCCTGTAATAACTTTCCTGACGCTTAAGGATGAATATTAAATTATTTCTCAGTCCTGGCTTCTCCTGTACAGCTGTATTCTCACAAGTACATCTCAATATTACAAGAAGTAAAAAACAAATGTGATCATAACATCCCCAAACCTTCATCATGGTGGTTGAAATGTAGGTCCGTGCTGAACTAGTCCCCAGCCCAGTTGTCTCTTCCATGGCTCAGAGATGGCTGCAGTTTTTGCTCATAGGACAGTGCTCTGGTGAAAGGAAAAGGAGACGGTTTGGCTTTTTTACAGATGCACTGTCCAGTCTCGCACTCTCTGAAGCCCCTTGAGCACCAAGCCGGAGACTACAGCTTTAGCCCTGTCTCAGGTAGGAGACATGCAAATATCGCTTTTCAAAGACTATTCCAGGGATCTTATTTGTTTTTTGTTTTGAGATAGGGTCTAGCTCTGTCACCCAGGCTGGAGTGCAGTGGCGTGACCACAGACTCAGTCTCCTGGGCTCAAGTGATCATCCCACCTCAGCCTCCTGAGTAGCTGGGAATACAGGTGAATGTCACCATGCCTGACTAATTTTTATATTTTTTTAGTAGAAACAGGGTTTCACCATATTGTCCAGGCCGGTCCCAAACTCCTGGGATCAAGCAATCCACTCACCCCAGCCTCCTAAAGTGCTGCGATTTCAGGAGTGCACTATCATGGCTGGCCTATTCCATGGGTCTTTGAAAACTTCTGCTCCACTCCTATATCGATAAAAGTACTTTGATCACGTATCCCCAATATATATAAATAATTTCTATTTAAATATTTAAATGATATGCCTTGCTATATATGAGTCAGCTATGTCTATAATACAGCATTCACAAAAGTGAAATTTGTTAAAGGACAAGATAAAAAACAAATGTGATTAGAAGTGCCAACAATTTTTCCCTGGCCCTAGTGGACCATTCTACTCCCCTCTTCAGAAAACATTTGGTGCAAGCTGGGCATGGTGGCTCATGCCTGTAATCCTAGCACTTTGACAAATGAAAGCCAAGGCAGGCACATCACCCAAGGTCAGGAGCTTGAGACCAGCCTGGTCAACATGGTGATATCCTATCTCTACTAGAAATACAAAACATTTAAAAATTAGCTGGGCATAGGTGGCAGGTGCCTGTAATCCCAGCACTTTGGGAGCCAAAGGCAGGTGAATCACCTGAGATCAAGAGTTTGACATGCTGAAACCCATCTCTACTAAAAACATAAAAATTAGCCAGGCATGGTGGTGGGCACCTGTAATCCCAGCTACTAGGGAGGCTGAGGCAGGAGAATCACTTGAACCCAGGAGGCAGAGGAGGTAGTGAGCCAAGATCACACCATTGCATTCCAGCCTGGGCAACAGGGCACCTCTGTCTTGAGCAAACAAACAAAAAATTTGGTCCATCAGAACCTTCGAAAGTCACAAACTGACAACCTCCAGGCCAAATGTGGCCCACAGATGTGTTTTGTTGGGACTGAACAATGTTTTCTAAACTTTCTGTTAGTTCTCAATACTTAAATACTGGGAAAGTCCACATGAAAATCTAGAAATTTTTTCAATTTTATTCACTGCTTTATCCCCAGTGTCTGATACACAGCAGGCACCCAATAAATTGAATCTATTGAATTTCCAGCTTCTCTTAAAAAAAAAAATCAAGCTGGCAGTTCTTCCTGGCGGTAATTACCTGGAACTGAGTGGTGATTACTCTCCTTAGCAGGGTGTTGGCCCACCAGTCCCGAACCACAGTCCCCACCATTCCCTGTTGTCCTATATCCAACCAGCTTCCGTCGTACTGGTGATTTGCCCAGCCCCCATCGGTATCTGAATAATTGTTTCTACTCAGGGTTTCCTGCTGCATGATGGCCTCAGTCACCCTCCATGAGTTCAAACAAAAACACTATTCCATCTGGAGTCCAAAGACACAGGTTTGAGCCTGATTCTGCCAATTACCACCCTTGAGAAATTTGCTCTCTGAGTCAATTCTCCTAATCTGGAAAATGAGGATGGCAATACCTTCTTCACACGTTGTTTGACAATCAAAATGAACAAGACAATGTCATGAGCTGCTTTATAAATTGTAACGTATTGTGGGAATGCGGACACTTTTCATTGCTACAGTTACATTCAGCCTTTAAAAGTACCCACTGGGGTCAAAGCGATGAAGATTCCTAATGCCAAGCCTCTGAGCTCACCACACTGCCCCAAATCAGTCGTGTCTCTCTACATATTCACCCCCTTCCCAGCCCTCCCCTCTCATCTACCACTTCAGATTTCAGGGTTGAATGGGAAGATAAATGAAGCAACAGGCTGAAGAGTAAAGAAGAAGCCACAACCCTCAAGGTTATGTTCTATTTTTTCTACTAATATTGACACCCTTATTTTACTCTTTCTCATTTCTAAGTCACTAAATCTCTGTGATTTAATTTGCTATCACTGTACCCAGTGTCCCCACTCTGCATCCTGAGAGCCAGTCACTGCCTCCTCCTTATCTCCTTGAATCTAGACCCCTCATGGACTCCTAATCTGGGTATTCACCTCCTGGAAATACGCCAAAGAGAACTTTCCTCTTCCACCTTTTTATCAGCAGGGAGACTAAATTTGTCATATATAAGCCTAACTTAGCAGCAGCACTCCCACCTCTCTCTCTATAGATAGAGAGATAGATAGATAGATAACATCCTCCCTTCTAACACTCCCATAAAGGTTTGGCCAGCTATAGGTTGGACCGTGTGAAATTACCAGTATTTAACGATTTCTGATATTTAAAAAATGGCCATTTTTTTGTGGTCCAACTTGATACGTCTACTCCAGTGGCCCAGCCTTGGAGTCTTCTGTGATCTCTTCTCATGTTAAGCCAAAGCCAGTTGTCTTGTCCATTTTTTGTCATGCAGCTCTGGGAAAAATGCTTCAGCATTTCAAATATTCCAGGGGGGTTCCTCTCTCATAGACTTGAGCTACAGTTGCCAGACAATTCTGTGAACTAGAAACTCTAGTAAAAACGATATTCTGGATGAAACAGATTCTTGTCTCTTCAGTTTCTCTCCTGCTCCTTAGGGGAAAACAATTATCAAATGTGCTCTGCTGGTCTGTGGCCTGGGGAATGTAAGCCTTTTTAAGGAAGGAGACCTCACCTCAGAATCACCCATGTCTTACCACTTGGAAGTTTCACATTCTTCCTCAACGTGTTCTTTCAGCCCTTTGTAAAAGAAGTCCCAAATCCTCTACCTTTTGCTTATTTTGCTCTGTTGATCAGCAGGAACTAACCCTACTACCTCCTTCCCTCTTAAGCCCAATGGGGAAAAGAGGACGTTCTGAGACCGTTGGAAGAATTTCCCCAACTGCCCCCTGATAACTGAAATTCTATATGGTAGCATGTCTTAAGGTCTATGGGGACTACTGTAACAAAATATCATAGTCTGGGGGGCTTACAAAGAGAAATTTATTTCTTTATAGTTCTAGAGTCTGAGAAGTAAAAGATCATGACACCTGCAGGTCTGGTATCTGGCGAGGGCTTCTTTCTTGGCTCATATATGGCCCCTTCTCCTATATCTTCACATGGTGGAAGGGGCTAGCTAGCTCTCTGTGGCCTCTTTTACAAGGGCACTAATACTGGTGAGAGCTCCAGACCCATGACCTAATCACCTCCCAAAGGCCCCACCTTCTAATACCATCACGTTACAGATTAGGATTTCAAAATTAGGGCAACACAAACATGGAGACCACAGCATGACATAAATCCTGTAGCAGTAAACATTGCTCCCTGTCTTGTGGGGTGTTCTCTTTGAAAAGGCAAATCCCCCACATATTAAGAGTTTACAACATGATTCCTGGGAATTCTAATGTTCCAAGACATATTCTTGGTTGTTCATTAAAAAAATAAGTTTTTAGGTCCAATAAATTTGAGAATTGCTGCATGCCATAGCCCCTCAAGGGAGTTCCATAATATGCACACCAGATTAAAAGTTCAGAGAGACCCTGCAGTGAGGAACCATTTAACTTTGTTTAATCTAGTCGTTCCTTAACTTATTTGTCAAAAGAATTCTTTTTTCATGGAATTTTAAAAATTATTTCTTGATTCTTTATGCCTCACAGAACATGCTTTGTGAAATCCTGAGCTGACCCTTGAGGGAGAACAGATGAGTCGAACACTTCCCCTTCCCCTAGGGTATGTGGAGAGAGCAGGAATAGTGAGAACACCACACCTCTTATCCATCATCCCCCCGACCCCACACCCCCACTCCTGGAAAGGAAAGCCACTCACACAGGCTTGCATATGGCTCTCCTCCTCTGCCCAGGACACACACAGTATCTGCAAAGATCAAGACATTCCCAAGTGTCTGTTCAGCCTATCATCCATCATCAGTCTGGGCCCTGGGAAGCTCTGCATGAGTCTGCAACAGACTCGGTTGACAGGGAGATCCAAGAGGACCCCACCCAAAAGGAAGAAATTAGAAGGCCAAATGTGATATGTTCTCTTTAGTTCCATTGCCCAATTTTGATTAGACACACCCTTGTCTCCAAATTCATGCAACCTAGACCCACCAGGTGGGAGCCCCTGGAGCACCCTGCAGAAACCACAGACTTGGAGGTGGTGCTTCTGGGCTGGGTCAAATTCCCTGTGATTCATCTGGAACCCGCACTTTCACATTTCAGCTCTTTCTACTTTTTATTATTCTGTTTCATCTGTGGAACTATCTCCCCACCTTGAATGTAAAATCCAAGGTTTGAGGTATTTCCTGTTTTTCTCTTTACAGCATCTAGTTTTCAGTGATAGGTATGAAGGAAGCACTTAATAAACAATACGAATTTGTGTTTAAGAGAATCTCTTCGGTTCTTACCCATTCCAGGAAAGAAGGGAGGTGAAATAGAAAAGCTCTCTTAACCCACCTCCTCTAACTGCCTCACAGATTCAACCAGCACCAGCAATTTACACTAAGAAACACACCAGAGAAACTCACTGAACACTCCTTGCTCACAACACTGGGCCACTCACTCTCTCATGCCCTATGCACTTCTCACTAATCGAGTTGTTTGCTTATCAAAAGTCATGTGTTCCCCAATTTGTTCATGCCAGTTGTATGCGTTACTCTAGTTACATATTTTATACGTATTTTACTGGGAGAGACACTCATGTTCCACTACACCAGATATTCTCCATTCACCCTCCAGGCCCATTGTCCCCCTTCCTCTCTCCTGATCTGCATCCCAGGAGACTGATCTAGATGGACTGAGCTAGTCAGGCTTCCTTGCCCTCTGGCTTCTGGTTGCATTCAGCCACTACAAGGTACAGCAGGAGAGAGAAGGTAGGAAATAGAGGGGTTGAGCTATTTCCTCCCCTGACTCCCTCCTTGCAGGTCTTCAGCTTGATAGTGACTAAGTCCTCTACCAAAAATCCTGACCCCAATCAGGCAGCTGTCCCTTGTGCTACCTGATGACGTCATCCTCGCTATCCTCAAGGATCGCAGTTAGTCACTGTTGCTAGTTGCTAATCACTCAGTGCTTCACTACCCCCTGCTGTTTTCCCTCAACTCTGTCCACTCTTTATAGTTCCTTTGTTAAACCCTTTGTCATTGTTCCTTTTCAGTGTACCATCTCTTTCCTGCCCCCTTTACCTTGACTGGTCCACACACCAGTAACTATTCTTCCCTCTCTTATTTTCTAAGAGCCCCATTTGATTCTGATACCATGATCCCAAGTGCTTCAGGAAGCGTCTCTCTCTTGCTA